TCTTTCATTGACATGATTTCTAGCTCACAGTGTAGAGCTGAAATGGATGTAGTTTTGTAAACTGGCAGTGCCTCTCACAAAGCATCTCTAAGGGCTAGATCTAGCTTTCTGACTAGGCAATTCATTTGATTGAAGATTTTCTTTCCCTTCTCCATTCATGTGACTTCAGACCATCAGATCTTTGCTTCATAGCAGAGCACAGAGAGTACACAGATCTGAATGAATTGTCTAAGCAGTTGTACTGAGATGCCTCTTGCTGTGTTGCTTAGTGTCTGTATATCATTAGACATCTATCATGCCTTAGCTGCTATGATCTTCACATGTTTTTTGAAGCTCAGTTTTTTATCTAGTCAGATTTCTAGATATCTTATGAAGCTTTTAACTGCATTTGCTGTAATAGAGTGAGTGTCAGATGTTGTTTCAAAATCAATTGAGAGGTTTGAAAGAATTCTGCACTGTGTGAAGTGTGCTATCTCAGTTTTGACAAAATCAAATGTTAGTTCTTCTTTGCTGGCTCAATCATTTAGTAACTTGAAATTCTCCTAGAGAGTAACAACATTTTCTTTAAGAGTGGTTTCAGCATTAAGCAGTTCTAGATCATCTGCATAGTCTGAGCATGCATGTCTTCTTTGTATAGTTTCTAGAAAGAACAGAGGTTGAATAAACAGCATGAATAGAATAGATGAGACTGATGAGCCTTGTGAAAGCTCTGCTGGAATATCAAAGAGCTCTCTCAGAAGTCCATTCAATCTGATCCTGCCTGTGCATTCTGTCATAAAGCTTTTCACTCATCTAATTAAATTTGATAATCAGTTTTGTTCTTGCAATCTCCACAGCATTCTTTCTCTGAGTACAGCATCAAAAGCACTCTTGATGTTCAGAGTAAGAAAAGAGACTACTTTTCCATGAGCTCAGACTTTCTCTATATCATGAATCATTGCTGCCACTAGGTCTGAGGCAATCTGCTCAGAGAGGGCTTCAAAATGCTGAGAGTGGACAATCTTCTCTTGTATAGCTGTTCAGACCAGTCTATGAACTATCAGATATTTCAGTCTCTTCCTCAACATTGAGAGAAGAGCTATAAGTCTGTAGAATTGCAGAAGTGTTGAATCTCTGTTGATCTTAGACAGCACAATCAGTGTGACATCTTGAAAGAAAATTGAGTGCCAGTCAACTCTAAGACAGACTCTGAACAGTCTTTTCACTAATATCTTAATATGTGGTCATGTCTTTTGTAGCATCTCTGTTGACACTCTATCAGTTTCTGAAGTGATATTACCTGTGTTCAGCAGAGAACTTTGTATCTCATGTGCTGAGGCAACAGGAAATGATAATTTGACAGATGGTGAATTGAATCAGCTAACTGAGATATTCTCTCTGCTTGCAGCCTTCTGTAAGAGCATCTGTTGCAGAAGATCTCTTTTCTCTCTAGAGATTGTTTGTGTTAATCCAGTCTCTTCATCTACAAGAAAAGGAGAATGAAAGAAGCCAGTTGAATGAACTCATTTGATCATTTTAAAGATATCTTTCCTCACTAAGGCCTCTGCTATCTTGTCTCACCAGTATTTTCTCTTGACTTTTCTGATGATCTTGACTACATTGCTTTTTACTTCTTGTAAAAAACTAGAGTCTAGATGCTGTGCATGATGTAGTGTTGTCACTGCTTTCTGACAGTTCTCATTTCATCATAACTGATCTATATCTTGCTCAGTGCTCTTCTTGATGAAACTTTTCAGAGAAGTTATTAGTGCATCTGTGATATCTTTAGCCAGGGCATCCAGCTGATCTGTATTGGGGTACTCTGAGATATTATATAGTTTGTCTAGTTTTGACTTATAGGCCTTCAGTGTCTGGTTAAAGACCTTTTCATTCATAGTATTGAGACAGAAAAAATGAGTTGATCTGACAGGCCTTGTGCTCTGTAAAAGACTGATTTTGATGAGAAGAGTCTGATGATCAGAGGAAGTGTAAAGAAATCTGTCCACCTGTGTGTCCACTTCTTTGATAACTAATTCCAGAGTGACTCAGACCAGGTCTATCATGTTATGCCCATATGTGAAGATGTCTGGGTCCATGATGAGAGTAAAGTTGAAATTCATGATTCATTGCAGAAATGATTTCACTCACATATTTGAAGACACTTCTGGTTGTCACACAGAGTGCTTGATATTGAGGTCATCATCAAGAAGCAATGAGAGTGCTGGAACAGATCAGAAGAGAAGACAGCTCACATCTTGTTCAGAATTCTCTGCATCTGAAAGTGCATTGTATATGTTGACTGTCTGAAGCTGTAGACCTCAGATCTGTATATGCAGCATGTGAATGTTTCAGTTTTCTGCTCAGAGACCTGGGACTGTATGAGTATGAATTTGTGAGTGTTTATGCATATAGATGAGAATCTGTGACTTTCTGTCTCACTTTTCAATTGAGGCAAAGCAGTTGAATGCTGAATGCTTTTTGAAGATGCATTGACTTAAGTTTCTGTGAATTCAGAGTTTCTGTATGAGAAGAATATCAGTCTTTCTTTCAAACACTAGATTGAGAGCTGTCTTGTGTGCTGAGCTCTCTTTTTCTACATTGACTTGCATAATCTGCAAGAATTGTGGAGATCTAGAGTTCTTCTTCATTAAGTAGCTGAAAGAAGGAAGTTGTTGTGTGAGATGATATGTTTAGTGTTGCATTAGATGTTGAGTTGAGCATCATGTCTAATGCTATATCTGATGCTATGCTTAATGCTGTGTTTGATGCTGTGTTTGATGTCAGTATGAGGTTAGATCTATGCTCAGTAGAATCATTCAACCTCAGGTCTGCTAATGACCCTCAACCACTGCATTTGCTGTTATTTGTCTTGATCAAGTATGTCTTACTCTGTGCATTGCAGATATTTCTCAGCTGATTTCTTGAGTGTCTTTGAACAGTCTCATTCTTTATTTCTGATCTGATGAGGCAGGATGGATCATCTGCAGCATGTGATTCAAAACAGTTAGTGCAGCAATTGAGGCATTCACATGCTTCATTCTTCTTATGACAGAATGAATTTCCTTTCACATGATTCTTAGAACTGCATTTTTTGTAGTGAGGGATGCAGAGGCAGTATCTCTCTTGATGAAATTCTCAGCATTTGCTGCATTGTTGTATTTTGATCTTGAGTGTCTTTCTGATCACTGATTTTTGATATTCATATAGTTACATTTTTGATGACAGATTTACTGCTATCTCTTGTGAAAAGTATAATATAAGAGTGACTGTTGAGTTTTCAGAGTGTATTTTTGTCCAGCAACTCTGGACAGATTTGATATTGATTTGAAGTGTGAATTCTTCTGTCATGAATTCTGCTGAGAGATGCAGAGTTCCATCATCATAGTCACTAATCTTCATGAGCAGCTTAAAAATCAGACAGATGATTCAATGTTCTTTCTTCTCTATCTGAGCATTGATGAGAGTGGCTGCTAAAACACTTTTTTGAGCTAGCAGAGTCTTCATGTCTTACAAGCTTCTAGAAATGATCACAATGTCTGTGGAGATGACTTGAACTGCTGTGATAGCTGCTGTCAAAGACCTCAGAAGTTCAGTCTTCAGCTTTCTAAGAGTAGCAATTGAGCTTGCTTTGCAAGCTAGATGATCTGAAGACAGGCATGCAAGAATTCATGATGTTTTTCCTTCTCTGGAATTATTTCTAAGCAGGGGTTTCTGCAGTATGATTGCTGGTGTTTTTGTTACATTGATGCTGTCTGCAGCTGTCTTTGCATAGATAGGAGCTCTTGCATCATTTGCATCAGTGGAGTCAGCAGACTTGATTGTGATGGACTGCTTAGCTGTTTCTAGACTTCCATTGTACCAGTTCTTGACTAACACCTTCACAGTGGCTCCAAGGGCCAGTGCCCTTGATAGGTCTTTTGCCTTCATGACATCTAGGTCTTCTTCAATCTGATCAAGCATATTTGCAGCAGCTAGTGCTTCTGCATGGGATTTCTATGCCTCAGCCTCATGGGCGGCTAGGAGATCACTAGCCATCAGGCCACGTAGGTTGAGGTGAATTGGTGTGACATTTCTGCTCTTTGAGCTGCCTGCTGGTGTAGGGGAGCTTGGAGGCTCCATGTCATTCAGTTCACATGTGCAGTGGGCGATTGGGGTGAGGAGATGGGGTCTCTTGGGTGGACAGTGTATGGGGTAGCAGATGCGCGTCAAGGCTCGGGACGCGTTCAGTGGTGTTGGGGGGCTGGGCGCGCTGGCAGCGCTGCGTCAGCACACCATCAGGCTTGCTGCCTGAGGGGATGGGAGAGAGCTTATAGGGATGTGATCAGGATTGATTAAGATGTTTTTGTATAACAGTTCTGTCCGTCGGGCTTGGGGTTGTATAACAGTTGCCAAACCACTAGTTGTGACACGAACTGTTGTTGGATGTAAATACGCAGATCGCAGAGATCGCCTTCGCTGATATCATGTGATTTATCTACTATATTGTACTTGATTTACGAATCTGGGAGAGACATATAGGAGAGGAATTGGAAAGTTTAAGCCATATTGACAAGGTGGAACATAATCTGCCACCTTTCCAGTGTTGTTGGGACATGTAGCTAGGCTATGTACGGCAAAAAACTCCAAACGACCACGACTGAGAGAGTTAGGTTAAACCACCGGTCGTAATTTCACATTACATCCCTTGTGTTATCCAACACGGGTCATATCTTAATAGCGCAAATAACAAATTCATAAAGCGTTCATACAAGTAGCTAAAAACAAAAACAATAAAATAAAAAATAAAAATAAGAAACAAAAAAGTAAACAAAGTAACAACACGAGTACAGGAACGAAGGAATTTCGAGATGGAGAAATTTCCGAGTACATTCTTGGATGGAACATTTATGCTTGTCGTTCATGACATACAGACATAATAAAACGGAAAAAAAGCCGCCCGTTTTATCCATTTTAATTAGCCCCAAATGTGCAAGCGTCAATTGCGTAGATCAGCTCAACTGCAATTCATCATCGAACTATATCTAACTGGCCTCCTGGGCATTCAAAGGAGCGGAATCGACATCAACCTTGGTCTTGTCGTTGGTGATTTCTTGCATAATAGCAGACACAACAGCGGGATCGAGCCCTCCGACATCGGCATCCCCTTTAGGCTCCAAATTTAAAAGACCAGCTTCTGCAATTGATCTGTCAAAAATATTTGAACCGGCAAGAGTAGATGGGTTGTCTAAATTTCCATCGAGATTCGAGGACGAGTCGCCAGAGAGCAAACGGCTGAATTCAGCGTCATCAGGATCAACAGGTAGCAAGAAGGTGTCTTTCAGCGTCGATGTATGGTCTGCATTAAGGCTCTTGGTTGTCGATTCAGTTAGGCCACTCCGTTCTTGTTGCGTGATAGTACCCATATATCCTAAAGTTTTAGGTGAAATGCTGCTTTCAGCAGCCCAGTCTGCCCAGTTGCTACTGACCTGGCATTCGGCTGGCACAAACGGGTAGAAGGAGTCGGTCTGTGCGACGGAGTCTTCATCCGAGTCGAAGATATCTAAAACAAGGCCACCGATAGATTGAAAGTGCTGCAGCTGCGGGCTTTCCTGGAGTGAAGAAACTTGTAAAGCGTCATCTTTTAGAAGGTTGTTTATTCGATAGGCTCGGGGTGTCAACCCGGATCCTTCGTGACTTGCTCGTTTAAGCTCTTCAGCAGTCAATCTCGACGGTGAGAAGATGGTGCCTTCTCCCGCATTGGGGCCATTCGGTGAGTTTCCCAAACCCTTACCACCCTTGGACTTTTTAGAAGGTGTTAAGATAACGCGCCTCCTATTTTGTTTTGGGGTAGGGCTACCCGGAAATGGCAATGGATCGTTTTCAGCGTCGCCACCAAAAAGATCATCAAGCCCATCATTCAAGCTTGTACAAGGTGTGTTTTCCTTAGCTGGGGTCATATTCGACTGCTTGGATGCAGCCCGCGGGCTTCGTCGTATCACATTGATCGAAGAATCGCTCAGAGTCTTCATGGTATCACCCTCCCTTGAAAGGGGGAACAGAGACCTGCGAATAGGGTTAGGTGTGAGGTTTGTCTCCATGAAGGGAAGAGTTGATTTTTCCATATTCCCCGCCGGGCTAGATTGAATTGCGCGATGCAACGCTTTCATCGCATCTTCTTCCCGCCACCGAATTTCGCATTTGTCAGAAGACCTTGGTGGCTCCTCACTATTCGCTCGTCGGCCGGCAGATCGAGAAGGAGGTGCATTCTCATCATTCCCCGTATCGTTCGCATTGTCAGCAGGCGTGGTTGGGTCTTCCCCGGGTGGCGAAGAGGCCTCTATTGGCCCAGGAGACGATGCGTTTCGTTTAGAAGCAAGGGCTTTACTACGTGATCTCGTTGCAGCACCGGCAACGGGTCTATTTCTTCTGGGTGCGCGCTTCCTTTTATCCTTTGTGGGTGGTTTATTCCATTTATTTTCCGGTCGCATAGTTTTGAATTTATGAAGCCACAAGCCACAAGCTGTGAAAAAGTTAACTATGGTTAAATATGAAGGTCAAATTGCATACTCACGGTTACACAATAAGAGTTGAACAAAATCCTTATCGTCGTCTGCCAATGACTTTTTGAACTGTTTGTAAGATATGACGCTGCCATCATCGGCAACTTCTTCTGGTCGCCAAAAGAGCATTGTAGGGTCATTCCTGTTGGAATTTGCATCTTCTCCGTTGCCTTGGATGACCTTTGACCAGGCTCGTCTCCAGGTAGGAGTCTCGATTGCGCCGCAGTTTTCGCAGTACGGCGGAACGGTCCCTTCACGAATACATTGCTCAAGACGTGCCTGAACCTGCTTGGTTCTCCTGCCCCCTGCCCCACTGCGTACTTTGCCATCATCAGAAGCCATTGGAGCAGGGGTGGTAGAGATTGGAAAGTCACTCATGGGACAATTCCAGGGCTGATAGTGCTGCTTGGGATTCGGTGTAGGACGCACAGGGTCGCTGCCGGGAATAGCTTGCCGACTTAGTCGTTCTGCCTCACTCTGGGAGATAGGAGCAGGGGCAAGCGGCTTTGTTGGTTGCCTAACACTAGCTCTGGAAGATGGACGAGAAGCGGTTGGTCTTCGTGGTGGCAGTGGTAGCGTGTTAGCGGGATCATTGTTGGACGTATCAACTACACTATCACTCATCGGAAAACTATTGTTTTGAGTTTTAAGTGGCTGGGGAATGTTATGAGCTGGCAATTCAGTTTTGCTTTTTTCAGAGTCGTTTGTCGTTTGGCTCACTTCTGCAGTGGAAGTACCAAGGTCGTCAAGGGTGTTCCTTATGCAATGGTCGTCAAGAATTGAGTCTAAACTGCCGCTCATGAACCCAGAGTCATGATCAGGGAGAGGTGGAAGAAGAGGACTGGACGTCTGGGGATAGATGCATTCCATTGTTGGTGGAGATGATGGCATGTTGAACGGGGTATCAATGGCACTTCCGTATCGGACATCTTCGGGAGACGTAGCCGCGGTTTCCAGTGTAGGCGTATATTGTGACGAATATGACACGTGAGTACCGCTCGATGATTCACGGCGAAGATTGCTTTGTGCCGGGCGGTTAAAGCGTGCTGTTCCAGCGTTGCCTCTAGGAATGGGGGTGGGTGGGCGAACAGGGTCATCATTGGATCCTTGACTTCGGGCCGTAGCTGGATTGAGGGGCATGGGACGGTGGATACGGACGGACGCCGCAGTACTGGCGGCAACACGAAGAGAGCCTGGCTGCCTCTCTATGTTCATATTGGGTTTGTCCTGCAAATCAGCCCTCATCAATTTTGCTCTTTTGGGTGCAGGGGGCTCAGTTGCTTCGTCACCACTTCCATATCCAGAGAAAGTTGAATTTCGTCGACCCATATATGGAGCTGGTTGATGGCGGGAGTCTGGATCATAGCCAGACTCTCGGGAAGAGGGTCGAAATGCTTCTGCTGTGACCCTTTTTTGATGTTGGCTGCTAGGCCTTGTAAGTCCAGGAGTCGAGGCTCGACTCGGTGCGGCATGGGTCGAATAAGCAGGAGAGTCAGCATGATAAGATTCTGCAGCAGTGATATTTGAAAAATCCCTTGGAGTTGAGCCTTCACTCAGCATCTGGTGCATCCGCTCAATGCCGGATCGATCCATTGGGGAAGCAACACGATCCGAAGGAGCAGAAGCGGAACGGTTGCATCCTGCTGCCAGGAGGCCTGGGTTGGCTTGAACAAAATTGGTCCAGGACTGCGCATCAAATCCTTGTATGTTCCCTGACTCCCGATATTTATGCATGTTGTTAAGATACTCATTTTGGAAAACTGTGGGGACTGGCACTAGCCGTAATTTGACCTCCAAAGTTTCCTGCGAGCCTTGAGAGAAAAGACCAAAAACATTTTTGCAAACACGGCCAGTCACCATCGTTTTCGATTGATGGGCTGGGGCATCAGGAGTAGGTGAGGCAGAAGCCAAGACCCAGGACAGCATCCCTTGTCCCACTAATGGCGTTTCATACTCAGAATAGTCGTAAGCGTAAATCGTATAATCTCGGCCAAGTTTGGCAACAAGTTCGGGGCTGTTATGAGGAAGAGTCAATTTAGATACCTTCCAGCCTGAATAGAGAAGTTATTGCCTACCTAGCAGACACAATGGCCTGAATACAGGTCTTTAGTTCGATAATTCCAACCTGAGTTTCTTCGTCTATGAAGGCCGTTTGGATGTCGATGAGGTGAGGCCATCGGGCTAGACAATTTGTTTTGTTTTCGCTGTCGAACGTGTAGAGTACCTTGACTATAAAATATATTGATTAGCAGAGGTAAAACTTGAGGTAGAGAGGTGAGTAGCAACTAGCTAACATACGTCTCATCTGACGGACCGAGATTCCATTTTCGGCAGACATGGTGTACTGAGGCAGCTGCTGATCTCGGACAGGAAGCTACAAAAATTGTAGAAATTGACAGATTGGGGCTAGGCAGAGGGAAGCTGAAGCTCTGTATAGATTCTAGGGAGTTTATTTGGTCGATGTTTTGGGCGTTCAGCATCGAGTCGACACGAAAATTTCTTAGTCTGGGTGACACGACACGCTATAGTTGGGAAAAGTTGAGGAACCGAAGGGGGTTGACGCGGTCAATTATTTGCTATATGACGACTATATCGATGGTAGTGTAGGTGTTCTAGTGAATAGAGTAGAATATTGGTATGTGGGGGGGAAGAAGTGAATAGCGTGTTGAGATACATATAGAGCTCACGAACGCAGCTTGTACTGGATACATGGAGGAAGAATTAAAGAGAAAATCTTTAAAAGTGAAGAGGTAAAATGCAATTGGAATTGATAAGGGAGAAGAAAGAGACGAGATCCTCGCCACCCCAAATTGCTGAACAAGGCAACAATTCCAAGAGGATGGGGAGGTTTGGGAAGAGGAGGATAAGAAGGAGAAGTTCTCAAGTTTGAGGTTCGAGATCGAGACGTGATCGACGCGATGTCGGATGGATGACTGATCTCTGAGTTAAGCAACGCCAGAGCCAGTTACGCTAAAAAGCTTGCGTGCCAATGTTGACTAAAACGCGTAGTTACCACGTGATACAAATAATCGGACAAACAAACATCCGACGCTATGCTCGATCAGGCAATTGTCAACCTCACGACCAAAAAGCTTCACAAGATCTTTGACTTGTTATTTAATAGATATCGAGGTTTAATGCTTGACGCCCGTCGACGTTTTCTCCCGCTACCTTTTATACCCAGCTCTCGCCATGTCAGACACAAAGATCCAGTAAGCGGTTCTTGGCCCCTTGTTGTGCCGCGTGACTCATACGTGTTGTTGTTGTCTGCAACACAGCTTTGCGCCTGCACTCTAGCTTCTGTTCCGATGGAAATGGCTAACATGATACCTTTTGATTCACCCATAGAGATCTGCTCAACAAGCCTCGTAGTGAGCTCACGTACGTTATATCTACCGCTACCTTGAATTGTCATTTTTACCATACCGCCTTACCGCCGTTTGCATTTTCCCATAGCATTCCACACTTTTGACATTCTCTTTCCCGCTTATCCCGTACTCCGTGCCCACACGCCTCGTCCCATTGCTATCTCCCCTAGCATATAATCACAGTTGAAGCTAATTCCACGTTTCTTCATCCATCTGTACAGGGAATACGAAGTCGCGGTATTGGAAGAACATGAGCTTACATCCGGTCCCCTCTCCATCCTTCAAACCGCAACTCGTTCTCATTCACAAGTCTTGATATCATGTCGCAATAACCGCAAACTATTAGCCAGAGTAAAGGCATTCGACAGACATTGCAACATGGTACTAGAGAATGTGAAGGAGATGTGGACGGAGAAACCAAAAGGTGGAAAGGGCAAAGGCGTCAACAAGGATCGCTTTGTTAGCAAGATGTATGTTAGATTCATTTTCTCCGCCAAACAACTTTGTAGACGAATGACGTTCTTCCCTACGCTACTCAAGGTTCTCCTGATGTCGGGTATATACACCATGCTGACACCTCTTGCTTCCACGATAGGTTTCTGAGAGGCGACTCCGTCATTCTAGTTCTGTTAAGTTGAATATTAAAACTTCTACAACCACTTGCCGCTAGCGTGTCACAAAATCACAGCGGAAAACGGCATCAGCCAGGCTGCAGTGATACAGTATACCTTCTGCTTGCTCGATTATACGCAAAATCACATGCCTCACCCACGTCGTGCAGTTAGATTGACATGGCTTCTAATTACGCCGGACCATATCTTTTCTACAGGAAGGGCTGTACCATTGCCCACTTATTGAAACAAGAAATTGAAGAGATTCACATAGCTATCTCCTTTTACAGATCCTGTGTCAACCCTGTGTCAAATCCGATCACCCAATTCCAACATTTTTTGATGTTTCTGGCGTTCGGAGAAGTTTTGTGTTTTTTTAATTGCTACATCCTCTCACTGCTTCATCATCCATTTTTTTAAATTCCCGGCTTACCATTTACTAGGCGCAATAGGGGGGAAGGTGGCGGAAAAACACGAATGAAAATCTATCGGTGGTGTACAGGAAGGAATTACACAATGTTCGCTTTTTGTTTCCTCTCTCCCCGGACCTGTTGTATTAGCACAAAGGCTTTAATAGAAATACCATTTACCACCAACAGAATATTTTAGCACCAAACCTGTTTCTCACTTTTTGCCATGTTCTGTCCACATCATACTTCCACCTTTAATACCCCACTCATATATGCGGGGTAAACAGGGCAGGCATTCAAGGCCTCTTCTCTGCTCACTCAGGCCTAACTCGCCAGGCAGCAGCAGGGACCATGTTGAAAAACTCGGGTGCGGTGTTAAGGTTCCCACTTTTTTACATCCATCAATCTCATATGAAACCAGACGGCTGTCTCTCCCAACCCCACTTCAGGCTCCATATATAGTCAATGCGCAGCAGGGAACAGGTGTTTGGATTTGGTTCAGGGATTGATACTGCGATCAATCCATCTCAGGCATCATCATTAGGCCCAAAAACGGCAAGCAAGGGAAATCAAGGAATTAAGAACAAAACAGATAAAAAAACATAACCCGCAAGAATACGCACCCTTAACCCATAAGAACCCAGCACGCCCACTGAGCAAACCGAATTAAAAATACAAACGTAAAAACTCCATGGTACTACCCATTGGAAATCAATTCTTACAACCCCTCCGCAACCCCATTCAAGAACCTCGCCAACCCAAAAGCCCCAGGATCCGGCACTTTTCCAATCCACTCCCCCTCGCCCCCAACATACACCGACCTCCCCAAACTAGCCTTCATATACTTCGTGGACTCCGCACCATCCTCCGCCGCCTTGAAGGCCTTACCCAGATCCCCAGACTCAACCAGCGTACTGATAAACGGCGCAAGGGCATCGATCAGCGTCCTATCTCCCACCTGCGCAGGAGTGTACTTTCCCAACGCGTGCAGAGAGTGTTGCAGCGCAGCGGACCATTCCTTTGCCGTGATTGGTATGGGAAACGGTTCCTTAGACCCTTCTTGACGCAAATTGTGCGCGAGCGCGTTGAGGAAGATGGCGTAGATGGCGCCGCTGGTGCCGTCCATGTTATTTTCGACGATGGGGATGATTTTGTTAATCGAGGTGACTAGGTCGTCTGTCAGGGTCTGAGTCGTGTTGGGATCGTTTAGGAAGGCTAGGACGGCTTGTGCGCCGCGCTTCAGGCCGATGCCGCAGTCGCCGTCTCCGACGATTGTGTCGTATTTTGTCACGAGGGGTTCAGCTTCGATTACACGGTTGAGGCCGGATATTAGGGCCTTTTTGAGGAGGGCGGGGTCGACTGTGTAGTATAGATGGTTAGTGGATTGGGGGATTGCAAGAGGGGGTGGGAGCGTTGATGACGTACGCTTAAGGTTGGATGGGTGCACTTCGTCTACAATGGACTTCTTGGTATCGTATGTAGCATCTGTCTGATTCTCCCAGGTTGAGGTTCGCACGGGGGCTGCCCATCCAACTGCCTCTGATGGGGCATCTAGGAGATCAAGGAGTGATTTCCCGGGTCCAAGGCCCGTGTCTGCCAGTCTGAGCAAGGAGATACTGAATCCCGTCCCATCTAGACTGGTCAAGAACGTTCCCTGAATTGTGCGAACTGGTTTAATCTGGTAATCCCGTTCTAGTTGGGCGGTTACCTCAGCTGTCACTGCAGATACTTCGAGTGTGCTGACGCCTCCGAGATTGTTGATGAGCAGGACGAATTTGTCTTCTTTAGCGGAGTATTGTAAGAATGCTCGATCCTTATCGTTTTGATCGAGTAACTGTAGGAGCATGATCTTGATAAGCTCTTCCCCAGTGGCTTTGACCCTATAGGATCCTGGTTCATTGTGGATTCCCATCCCTACTTCAACTTCATCGTGAGGGATCCTTTCATCGGAATTCGGGTCTGGAATCCTTCTCCCAGGAACATGAACCCGCTCAAGAGAGGAGCCAACCGAGACAATATTGCTAGTTGTCAGCTGCGCGATTCGGTATACATCCTCTAAAGACGCACTGCAGACTTCATCATCAGCACAAACATTATATTTCCGGCATGGTTTAGGGGAGATAAGAAGGGACAAGGCCTACCCTGTCTCCGCAAGCGCCCCTACAATCTTTAACACCAGAATGCCACCGCCAATCCCTCTCCTACCAACCTTCCCTCCCTTTGCCCTCCCAACGCCAACATCATCAGCAATCGTAAAGAACTCCGTCTTGATCCCCGCAGCATTCGCTTTTTCCGCAGCCATCCCAAAATTCATGACATCACCAGTGTAATTCATGGGAATAACCAGAACGCCCTTGGAGGTCCCAATGCGTTCCATGATAGCTCTCCTAATCTGTTCAGCAGAAGGGGAAGCGAATATAGTTCCTGCGACTGACGCGGTTAAGAGCCCTTTACCAACGAATCCGGCAAAGGCGGGTTCATGACCCGACCCGCCTCCGGAGACGATGGAGACTTTGGGGTTTTTAGAGACATCGGGGGTAGGGCGACGGTATATGATTTTGTTGTCGCTGTCGAAGGCAAGCGAGGGGTTTGTGATGGTGAGGGATGCGAGGGCGGAGTTTACTAGCTTGGTGGGGTCGGAGAAGAAGTGTTTCGCTGGGAGCGGAGGGAAGGGTTAGTTAGTGAATTGCAATGCTCCTACACGATTACAGCCGTGTTCATACGATTACGTACGTACTCTGCATTTTGAAGACGGTGGTGAGAGGGTTTAATCTCAGGCGGAGGGAGATTGGGAAAACGGGGGTATATAGGCTAATCCTTTGATATCTTTACGCAATAGCAAATAGACAGTCCAGGGCACATAATCGTAGCAGAACCAGACTGAATCAGAGAGATGAGTGGGTGTATATACACCGGTGTATATGGTGGTTCTTACGAGGGAGAGATAGTTGGGAGAGTAAGAGTTGATGTTGATGACAGACCGATGCATTTTTAAATATTAAAGAAGTCGCCCTCCGCCGTTCAACAGCAGCAGTGGTACAAGCACGTACACGAAGGTCCCCCTCTTCCATCCAGATCATGCATTATCCTGTTTCCTCCCGGCCGTCTTCTAGTGCGGGGCTTGGACCGACAGTGAAACCCTGGAAGGCCGCCAGGGACAGGGATGTATGGTAGAAGCCATAATAATTCCGAAACCCTCCTTCTGATGCAGATAGGAATTTTATCTGATATAATATATGCATATTATCTTTGTGTTCACTTGGCATAATGAACGTCTCGGCTTATTGGTTTATAGACCTGTTCTCTTTGCAGCTTAACCACATTATGCATGTCCCAGAGTCTCCATTTACCAGACAATTTTGCTAATCTCCTGGTACTCGATTCAGTTGGGGGATGCTTGCATTTATATCAACTCCGGCCAGTCAGATGTAAGTTTTCTGCTGGAAAGGATTGCGTGGGAACTCAATGCCCTGGAAATTGATGTGACAGTGTCACCCAATGCCTCAGACACCAGGTCAAGAGCACAATTAACGATTGTATGATTCCATTTTAGGAGAACTGCGGTAACAGATGACTCGTTGATGCTAGAACAAATGGTACGCCAAAGTGGCGGTGGTATGTCAACCCTGTGCCGCTCATAAGACTAGCTGCTAATTGAGAATGTCATCAGCATCTCGATAAGGTTGAGTAGCAAAATCAACCCAGTCCTTAACGCCATCCAAGACTCCCATTCTGGATTGAACTTATTGGCACCTGACTTGACATTGGTTCAATTTAAATAATCAGGGTCGACAATCGAAGGATGCTCGAGCGGGGTTGACATGTCGACGGGCATGAAAGAAGTGTAATTCAATCAGAGTAAGCAAAAGTGCTATAGTCCGGACTGACTACTGACACACGCGTTCCTCAAAAGTAACGGAAGCAAAAGAAAAAGTAATTGATGTGGTCGGGAGAAGGGGAGGTTGATTGTGAGGGCACAAGGGGAATGAAAATTCCTCGTCTTCGCGTGTTGAGACGTTCCCACCTATTTATTCAAGCAAAAATAATGACAGTTGAGATGCTTAAATAAATATGTAAGGCTGCTAAACGGCGCTAACCCTTCCTGTTATACTTGCTATCTCTTCTAAGAATCGATAGGGATGTCGACAAATAAAGTCTAAATAGCTATTTAAAGGGGCAGTTTTGAACACGGAATTCTCAGTCCGCAAAGATGAAATTTCTGCTCGCCAAGTAGTTCACGGTGCCACCGCACACTTCCTCTTTCAGTTTTGGCGGCGGTGAGGGTTAAAAGGCCTTGATGCCGTTTCAACTATAGTGGTGGATATGAGCCAAGAATGACATAAAGTCGGAGAGGGAGACTTAGTTTCTGAAGTCGGAAGAGCAAGAGCTCTAGGATCTTTCTTTTCCCACGTAATGTTCTCTACACTGCGTCTCTCGTGAACGGCAACTTCGCGGAGTTGAAATCCATAAGAAACCCTCGACCGTCGTCTGAATACCATGATATTCCGTGAGACCAAGTCACCATGCACATTACCCAGAGAGTGTAGACTATTCAACTTGTCCCGTAGGCTCTGAACTCGACGGAGTACTATAAGTTGTTTGGACAGTTCATTCAATCGATGTATTCAGGTAATAATCCGCGAATAGGGTCTTCCTCCAAATATATCAGATCTCCGCCGCCATTCAAATGACTTGCGTATCTTTACCTCTATGCCACTCATCTCAGCTTTACTAAACGTCAGCCAATCGTAACAGTGAGACTCAACGAGTTCGTTCTCAATCAAGCGGCCATACACTTGACACTCAACGATGAAGGCATCCCAATTCCAGGCAAGTCTTTCAAACCATAAGGCTCGCGAGCGGGGTCGTATGATGAGGATGTACTGAGAGGAGAGTAAGTGTAAGTGACAGTTTCCCTGTCCATGAAGAGAACCTACACGCCCGTTGCAAAGAGTAGATTTTGCCCTCAAGTCGCACTTTGATACGTAATTATGACCTGCGGAATCCAGCAGTTTGAGAAACTCAATCTTGGAAGATACATTCCGTATGTCTTTGATATAAGGGCACAGATGTTTCCTGTGTTTCAACCACTGTAACCAACATGTATACCCCGGTTCCGACTGGGTTTGAGGTTCGATTGCGAGAGAAGCAAGAGTGAAAGGGCCAGGGGGAAAAGCAACGAACTGTTGGAGCGTGTGATCCCAAGGCTTCAGACAGACCTGTTCCAAGGTTGTCCAAAAACACAGGCCTTTCCCACGTGAAATGTCATTTTCTGCAAGGAAACAGCTTTCGAAACCTATCAAGATATGGACCATGTTTCCAACATTCAAAATATTTAGCAAAATGGATGAAAATTTTACTTATTATAGAATGTTATACCCCCAGGTGCCATTATTGGGGATAGTAGACAGGCAGCCAGGCAGTGCACGAATGAACACTACATCTGCCCCGAGTCCTTGTAAGCAGGGCTATCTTAAATCGGGTTCTTTGCACAAGCCCGCCGTAGTTCCGAAGTAATCCATTCATGGATACACATGGAATACTGCTGCATAATGCGTAAATTTCACGTACAACAACACAGTTGGGAGATTAATTGGGACAGAGATAATTATCCCTGGTTTTGAGAGGCAGCATGCATTGCTGCCACCAGCGGATATTGATGTGCTAGCTTCATACTCCGTATGATGATGATGATGATGATGATGATGATGATGATGATGATGATGATGCCGGGCAGAACAAAGTGCTAGCAAGTCTCAGTTACTTAGACAACGTCCATTTAGTCCAGCTAACCGCAATGCAATGGTAAGAAACAGCATGTATCTTCTAGATTGATCAATCCTCACATTAACTAGTCGGTAAAGCTCCGAATTGATGAAGGCGGTTAGCCGGGGCTGACTAAAAGTTGTGCTGCCTCGGCATGGGTAAAGCCGCAATCGCCAATCATAAACAAACAAGCTGCTGTCAGCTTCCAGCCTCCTCCCTTTATCTTTTCAGCTGCACGTCAAACCAACCGCCCATTCTAGAGTTGGTAGTAAAATCCTGTGCGATCCCACCCCTTTCGCGGTCCTGATCGCTTGCTCTCATCCTTCAAGGCTGCTGTGATCTATCCCCCATCTCGCCCCTATCGAGGAAACGAGACGAGCTATCTAGCAGCGCAAACATGTCTGTCAAGTTTGACAAGGTTGTCTCCCATACAGTGGAGAAGGTGAAGGACAAATCGAAGGATGACCTCATGCACAGAGTTGGAGACAGGCTGACCGGTGGAAGGTCGAAGGCTGGATACTTGCAGGTGTGTTGCCCCTTATCTTCCTACCTCCTTTAAAATAGCGGCATCACTGACATATAAGTGGATCACGCACCACCCATACTTCAGGCGTACTTGGAGCAACTTCAATCCAACCCTCTGCGTACTAAGATGCTGACCTCCGGCACCTTATTCGGCCTTCAAGAATTTCTGGCCTCGTGGATCGCGCATGATCGGAGCCAACATGGCCACTATTTCAACTCCAGAATTCCCAAGATGATTCTTTACGGCTCCCTGGTCGGCGCACCGCTTGGCCATCTCCTTATTGGCATCCTGCAAAAAATATTCGCAGGCCGTACCAGCCTGAAAGCAAAGGTCCTTCAGATCCTGGCCAGCAATCTGATTGTACGTAAATCCTGCACAATTCCCATGCAGATCAGAACCATTCGCACTATCGGGATGCTGACCGCAGGTTTCCGCCGTATGTGATAGATCTCCCCAATCCAAAACACCGTCTACCTGGCCTCCATGGCCATCATCGCCGGGGCGCGAACATTCCACCAGGTCAAGGCCACTGTCAAGGCCGGCTTTTTGCCGGTAATGAAAGTCAGCTGGGTTACTTCGCCCCTGTCCCTGGCTTTCGCCCAGAAGTTTCTTCCGCAACACACCTGGGTACCATTCTTCAATATCATCGGCTTCATTATTGGTACATATATCAATGCCCACACCAAGAAGAAGAGACTTGAGGCATTGAGGCGCAAGGTGCGTTGAAAATTCTACTTTTTATATTTTGCTCAAGTGCCCTGTGCGCCTCTTATGGTTTTACTGTTGCTAACGTCACCTCACCTCTGTTTCGTACTTGGATTTTCTTGCAGCATTATGGCTCTGGCAAAAGCGCAACAGGCCGACCAGAGGATTATCCACGACGGGATTAAAGCACAACAGAATAACGCGGGTGCCAGTGAATGATCCCTCTCTCAGCTAGCTCACCTGTGAAATTTTGTTGCTTTTTGTATGAATGATCATAGATCAAGGTATTTTTTTTTGGAACTCTGAAGAAGGGATATGTACGAATCACGAGGGAGCCCTGGAATAATAATTTCAGTTTTCCCACGAAATTTTGATTATATATCCTTCATTCTCTTCTTCTCCCATCTCCCATATATTCCGACCCTGGTACTTTGTTTACGATGAAATATTTAGCTATACATTGTAGAAGGAATTTTGTTATGTTATATGCCCTATACTTCCTCTCATCTCCCAATTCTTTCTGGTGACTTCCCTACAGGTAGTTACAGTTTTATTGATTTCTGAAAATCTGGCAAGCTCCTTGGTTATTTGGGTTTTGTTTCTTTTTCCCTTTTCCTTGTCTGAGTTGGACTACTTTATTTGTTTTCCTCAATGCTATGTCCCGATTCCCCCCTTATTCTCTTCCGTCTTAGAGAGAGATCTAACAAATTTTATTTTCTGTTCATATAGTTGGTCTAAACGTACCATTGCTTGAATAGCTTCCATTTGTTTAGCTTTTTCCAATGGTGATCTTATATAAAAACCTGGGCAAAAAAGTACCATAGTCATTCGAACCGTAGCTGACAGCGGCGCTGGGGTATTATTATATGGAGCTAACGGTGCTGTATCGCAGAGACCATGCTCAATGACAGCTTTTACCTTCATCCCCGCTCGTAAGAGAGGTAGTAGGTATCTAATTTACCTTTAAATGAAACATAAAATGTGCCAGGTATTTATCTAATAGAGCCTTCATAAACTGCTCAGTAAGTACCGGCCGGATGGATATAGCTAGTCCGTTCGACGAGTTTACGCAATAGAGATAAGGGGTTCCATTCTCTTATTTACTGACACCACCTCCAAGTGCAGATATAAACCGGATGACCCACGCCAAGCAACCGAGAAGGAAAAAGGAATCCATATCATTTATCTAAAAGCAAAAGAAACAAATACAACGAACAACACCCTCAAGCCCTACTCAAGCATCGACGCCTGATTAGTGTACAAAACATCCACAACATTCCCAAGTTTCTCCAGCGTCTCGAGTGCAGCATCATAACCCTGGTCTCTCTCCACCTCATCGAAGACAATTAGACAACCGGCCCCCTGATCCAGCACGCCTATAATGACCTTATCCAAAATCATCTGTGACAGTTTCTTCTCCACCTGCTGTGTATCCAACCCGACCATCTTGGCAATATGGTCGATCTCCACCCTACTAAAGGGCTCAATGACTTTAATCAGGTTCTGTTCCAACATGGCATCGTAAAGGCGCCGGAGGTGGTTGCGGATAAACACGTCACTGCCCAGTTCATATCGATAGTCATTCAGCGCTTTCTCGTACTCTTCCAGCGAGCGGTTGGAGTGTGCGCGGGCAACGGCTTTCATGGCCTCGAGGCTCGTGCCGGCATATCGCAGGGCTTGCTTGGAGGCAAGTAAGGAGTTAACATCATTGACAGCATTGAGCATGATTTTGCATAGGAGCATATATTGCAGGGCGGAGGTGGCTTTGCTTGTTTCCTCTTGAGAGTGGTAGCCTTCCAGCGCCTCGATAAAATAGGAGAAGGCGGTGGTGAAGTCTTTGTCTTCTGCGTGGAGCATGCCGCTCTGCATGTCTAGACCCGCTTGCAGGAGCGGCGGGGTGTAGACGGACGCTGCTGAGGTTCTGGCTGAGGTCAATGCGGCACGGGCTTTTGGTTGGTTCCCTAGAGCGTGGTAGACGCGGGATTCCAGGAGTTGGACTTCCACCAGCACGAGCTTGTCATCCAGGCGTTTGAGTTCGCGGAGGAGGGAGTTGATTAACGTGAGGGCATCGTAGTATGATTGCTTTTGCATGTATATGGTGACAAGCCGTGTCTCGAGGTTCTGGCGGAGGAACGATCGTCGTTCCGATACTGCCCATTCTATACAGGACTTGATGACTTGTATCTGGATGTCAAGGGTATTAGGGATGGCAGAAAAGAAATCAAGAAGTTGTCGGACTGAAATACGCATATGTTAGCAAAGAGCAATTCTCACTGCGTCTATGCCTAGTATCCCACGTACCTAATTTGGCGGACTTTGCTTTGGCAAAGGAGGAGAAAGCTGATGTGCTGGTTTTAAGGAGCTGCGCAAGTTCAGTTGGTTTTCTCTCATCCCGATACAGCTCCCCCAACCCAACAAGAGCAGCTTCATAATCGCGCGAGGCAGCTTCAGTAGACCCTACACCTTTAGACAATATCTTCTGATACAGCGACTCTGCTTTCGCGGGATCTGTCTTTACGAGGTTCTTGGCTTCTGCCAGAAGACTTGCGTCATCAGGGCCAGCTGCCATGCTAAATGAAGGTATGTCGTTAACAGAAACGAAAACCAAATTAAATGAGGGGACTACTGCAAGCACAGAAACACGAATGAAGCTCGGGGGGTATACGGGGGATTTGTTGCTGGATTTTTATATTGTTGAGGTCACAGAAGTTTAATTGAGGATTAGTAAGCTTCCTCCCAAGAAGTAACTAACTAGTTAGTTATATAACGAGTTAGTTGTTGCACAGATTAGGCAATATATCGACGCTGTTTTAAAGGTAATTATGTCATCCCTTTTGTGCCGGCCCGATATTGTGCCGGTCAGCGAATCACAGTAGAGTTTTGGGCTATTCAAAAATATTTCGAGGTATCCAACTTTGTTGCTCGAGTAGCCAGCGAATCCCTGGCATACAGGACAGTATGGTAAGTGAAAAGCCCTCAAATTCACACGGCACGAATGCTAAATAGAACGATAGAAAATAAAAACTCTTTCAAGATCTGCTGCATTGCTGCAGGAGCCTGGCTCAAATACGTCGAAACTTCCCCGAAATCTTGATCCCGCTCAGCATCCATTCGAGAGAGCGCGGGAATATACGAGAGCACTCAATGCCACGAAGCTAGAGCGTATGTTTGCTGCTCCCTTTGTGGCTCAGCTTGGACGTGGACACGTTGATGGTGTATATTGCCTAGCTAAGGACCCTGTGTCCTTGGAGCGTTTCGCTAGCGGAAGTGGTGACGGGGTTATTAAGGTTTGGGATCTGGCTACTCGAGATGAGATATGGCATGCCGACGCACACGAAAATATTGTCAAGGGCATGTGCTGGACGTCAGATAGAAAACTTCTTTCATGCGCAGCAGATAAAACAATCAAACTCTTCGATCCTTACAACTCAGCATCCGAGACCCCTCCGCTGGCGACATATTTTGGACAATCCGCATTCACAGGCGTTTCCCACCATGAAACCCATCCCTCATTCGCCTCATCTTCCTCCGTAATATCCATATACGACCTATCCAGGCCGTCTTCCACACCTTCTCAAACCCTCCACTGGCCCACAAGTACCGACACAATCACCTCCCTAGCCTTCAACCGAACAGAAACTTCAATTCTCGGCTCGACAGCCACAGACCGGTCAATTATTATGTATGATCTCCGAACTTCGTTACCAGTCACAAAGATGATCCTCAAGTTTGCCTCCAACGCAATTTCCTGGAACCCGATGGAAGCGTTTAATTTCGCTGTCGCCAATGAAGATCATAATATATATATTTTCGATATGCGGAAAATGGACCGGGCGTTGAATGTGCTTAAAGATCATGTTGCGGCTGTTATGGATGTAGAATTCAGCCCGACAGGAGAAGGCTTAGTTAGTGCTTCGTATGACCGCACGATTCGATTATGGGACCGGAGTAAGGGTCATTCCAGAGATATTTATCACACGAAACGAATGCAAAGGTGGGCTATAATTTCATATGTTTTATTCACAACAAGCAAAAAACACTTGTCCTTATTCTAGTAATGCTAATCCAACACCATAACAGAGTATTCTCCACTAAATTCACACCAGACAACAAATACGTCCTGTCTGGGTCGGACGATGGCAACATTCGTCTCTGGCGCGCAGAAGCATCTTCGCGCAGCGGCATTAAGAGCACACGTGAGAGACAGAAACTTGCTTACGATGAGGCTCTCAAGCAGCGGTATGCTCATATGCCTGAGATCCGCCGCATTAAGCGTCATCGCCACCTTCCCAAGGCTATAAAGAAGGCTGGCGAGATTAAGGCAGAGGAGATCGCTGCTATCAAGAGGAGAGAGGAGAATCTACGCAAGCACACTAAGAAGAAGGGAGAGATGCCAAGGCATAGTGAGAGAGAAAAGATGATTTTGGCTAAAGAGCAGTAATCAAATCGGCACTAGCACTCGCATTTCGCACTGGAATACTCTGTTTTTGCTTAGTGGTTCTTTATTCTTGGAATCTACAGACACGCTATGATCGGGTTGTTTTAAACCACACGATGTCTATTCTCCGAATTAGAAAGAGTTTTCCTTTCTTTCCGTCTAAAAGAGTACCTACCTAAGTACCCTTTACACAGTTTTGTGATGCGGAGTTACAGAGTCGGGTTCAATCGCTCTCTTTTATTGCATAAAAACAACGACTAAAAAATGATGTCTTATCATCTAAATACAAGCTTTGCTCACCAGGAGCAAACTGACATTATTACCATTATCCCGACCATATATACACCTGAAGGACGCGCAGGTCCTACACATCTTGGTCATTTATTTCCTACTTACGCATCAGCTTCAATCAACTCCACATCACTATCAGAGCCCTTCGAAGATGAACTCGCCTTCCCTTTCTCCCTCTCTTTCTCCGATGAGATTGAGTCTGATGACGCCATGGCCCTTTCGCTCCCATTTCCCTTTCTTTTCTCTGCCTCCACCCCCACCCCCACCGCACTATCAATCCCACTAAGATATCTCGCCAGCCGCTGAATCGCCACAGGCAGCACCGCATACCAGTTCACTAGCGCCCCATAGGCCGGCAGCCTAATACTCCCACCATTCCCACTATCAACAACCGCCACGATCTCCCTTGCAACCTGCACAGGTTCCAGCACGGGTGCAAAGAAATTGTTCGGTGTCTTCACCGCCTCAAAGAGCGCAGTGGCCATCTGGCCAGTCTCGATGAGGAGCATCTTTACCCGGTCGTTGTCGCCTGATACGCGGAGTTCTGCTTCGACAGTCTTGTGAACGGCGCTGATAGCGGCTTTTGTTGCCACGTAGTCCGAGAGGCCTGCTGGGGTCAGGTAGCTGACCACTGAGCTGAGATTGACTACTGTGCCGCCGGTGGGGGAGGAGAGCATTCCAGGTAGGAATTGTTGGAGGATGTTGAAGCAAGAGACGAGGTTGGAGTGGATTGTGTAGGAGATGGCAGTGGGGGGGAGAGATGTGATTGACATGCCGTTGATAGGGGCGGCGATGCAGTTTATGAGGATTGTTGGGGTTCCGAGCTGTGGGTTGTTTAGCAATACAACGTTAGAAAAGGGGTTGTTTCAACGAATGTATATATCCAATCACGCAAAGGTCAATTGATCGACCAGCCCGTCGATGTATGTAGCGATCTGTATCTCAGGATATAGGACACAGGAGCCATAAAACATACCTCCTTCTCAACCATCCTTTTCACCCGCTCCACCTCCCCCCAATCCCCGACATCACACCTATAGTACCGAACACTATGCACCTCTTCCCACTCCTCCACCCCACCCATCCCAACACCCCCAACATCCCGCACATCCAACACCGCAACTGCAACCCCCCTCATCCCATAAATCTCCGCAATCAACAGTCCCAACCCACTCGCTCCCCCCGCCACAAGCACCACCTCATCCTCTAACGACACCTTCCTCGGCAACCCGTATGCAATCCGCTTATTCAATATATTCAGCAGCAGTAAGAAGGACAAGATCGATGCGTAGGCCGTTGTCGCGACGAAGGAGGGGTGGGAGTACGGTGTTGCTTGGGCGCGGAGACACAGGGGGATTAGCCAGGCGAGGAAGGGATGGAGGATTGTCTTGTGTAGGACGCGGATGATGAGGTCAAGGGTTAGGGCTTGGGTCCAGTGAGGGGTTTTGGTTTTGGCCGAAAAAGGGGAGAGGGCGGGAAGGGCAGAGCGGGATGCGCGATTGGGGGAGACACGGCGGGACATGGCGGACGGCGCAAGAGGTGGGTGTTGTGGATGTCCAATGCGACCGGAATTGGAGTCGGGGTTGGGAGTGAATCTGCTAAAGATTGTGAGAATAGGAGAGAGTTGCTGTCCGTATAAACAACTCGTCCTTAGTTAAATAAGGAGGTTTTGTCGTTGCCAAATCCTCTCGAAACGGAAGAACATTATCTAAATTGACTCTAGACAGATATAGTGATGACACTATTCCCTATGGCGCATGTACAGCAAGAAGGAAGACGGAGGTTCGTGGTTGAGGCGTCTTCTTGTCCTTGGTCGCTGGCATCCGGTGTTTCAGTGCTTTAGAGCCAAATATTGAAGCTCGTCCAGTTTCAGCCTGGCATCACCAATTCAGCGATACTCGACAAACACGCTTGATACCTACATCCCTATCGCGTCAATTGAACATGCGAGGTCTGAGAAATTAAGCGGGAATCTTTGGTTACCTCTCTTTGGGTATTGATACATCTCCCCATTTCACGTAGCTGAAGCTTGAACCGAAGTTACAGTTAAGTGTTTGCCGGTTGTTACATTCCACCTGCTGCACGTGATCTAGATAGCCCCCGTTTTCGGAAACCTGACGGGAGGACGAACATACGAACATACGAACGCGATATTCGTCATCAATATGTTAATAGATGTATATTTCTATGTATATATCGGTGTGTGTACTCGGGATACCCAAGTTTACATCCATTACTCCGCAAAGCCGTCAACATTAAATTCGCTTTACCTGAGCAACAATAGCCAGTAGAAGAGTCTACACTATTCCGTAACTGGAGCTGCTTTTGCTCATTAGCCATTCAGAGCCCGCAGGAGGAATCTCAGCAAATCGAATCTCCGTTGAGAATGCTTGCATTAAGCGAGTTTTTTGTTGCTTGTATCTGGATTCCATATTCTTTGTTATCCCCTTCGCTCACCTCATTTCGTTCCTGATCGATCGATCCATTTGCAAGATGTCCTTCTCTGTTGACTTCATTTGGGATCAATTGAGCATAAATAATCTCACTCTCTTGCCTTACGCCCACTGGCACATTGTCAAGGATGCTTTATTTTATTTTTTGTTATGGTAGTTAGTTGATGGTGGGTTCTGTTCTGTGATGACATGTATTCAGATGGCGCAAAATCAAGGCCCCATCTCCCGTGTCAAGCTGCCGCGGAGAATTCCTAAAGGAATGCTGTGTGATCACAGATCTTTCGGCCTCTAAGAAGGTTCCCCATAAAATACTGAAAACATTATTCAATTTTGGATTAGGATGGGGCGCGGACAATTTTGTGGGCCGGATAACAATGTGGATATCCGGCAACGGTGTCAACGGATGGTTGATTAATATTGGATGCAGTAACTAAAAGTTATCAATGAATGGTACTGGTTCTATCAACCGCTGGATTCAAAAGGGCCAACCGTTGGAACCACTGAATGTTTGACAGCGGTTTAGATGGACTTAGTTACATGGGGATGACGTCACATCAGATCTTGCCGACCCTTTAACATTATTAGTTAGTTACCCCTTTACACTCCGCATGGCATTCTATAGAAAAGGCAACGTGAAGATTTGGCCCGCTTCTTGATATGCTCAAGCGTAACCTTATTCCAGCCTTAAATGCCGCAAAATCTAGGTAGGTTTTGAATTTTCAAAAGGGGAAGACAAAATATACAACAGGTGTCTGTTAATAATGAAAAGAAGAGAAAGAGTGGTGAGTGGATTAGTTACTGTGCGGAATCTTAAATGTATGGGCGATTTTTTCCACTTTCGAGGATGAGAGGTTATTTTAACTCCCTCAAACGTTAAATTGCTCGTTCGAATTCACTTAACCAGATTCAGCCAGATTAGTAGGATAAGAAGGATCAAATCAAACTGTAGGTTCTTGGAGAATTTAAGCTAAATATTCTTTTTAGATTACTAGCAAATCAGTGGTAACTCACTTCCGCTATAACATCTTTGAACCTAAACCGTCCCGATAAAAAGCAAAAAGAATCTCCAATTATACCCTTACATGTGGTAGCCGTACCAAATCCCATAAAATTCAAAGCAGAAACAGAAAAGAAATCTCAGATATTCCCACAAGAAACCATTTTCAATGCCATCAAAAGGAAAGGGAACGTAAATGAACATGGGTAATGAGGGGTAGAGTGGAGAGGAGGAAAATATCCATAGGGAGAGGAAATACCAAAGACGAAGACAAGAGCGGAGATGAAAATAGAGGGATAGACGGAGAAAGAGGAAGCGAAGGAGATGGCGAGTGAGTGAGAAAAGGGAGAAAGTAAGAATCAAAGGGAGATATGGAAGAGAAAGAAAAGAATGGGGGAATGGAGAAGGCAGGGGAAAGGAGGTAGAGATGAGGAGGAAGAGGAAGAGACGGGAGGGGGAAAATTAGACGACTTCAATACAACCTCGAAAAGAAAATAAAAATAAAAATAAAAGAACCAATACACCGTCATTCCCAATCAAACTAAAGCAAAAAATGGGGGAGCAAATACACGCCGCAAGAGAGAAACAAAAACAAAACAAGAAAAAGAATAAAGAAGGAAAGAAAGAGAGGAATGGAGGAATGGAGGAGGGGAAAGGGGGAACAGAAGAATTCAACTTCAGAACACCTTACGCCTCATACCCATTTAGCCAACTTCTCAAAATCCTTTGGCACCTCCCACCCATGCCCCCTACACGCACGGATAAACGCAGCATTTACCATTTTTGCAGCCATCTTGTTGGTCCTCTACTGAGAGCATGACAGCATCTTCAATGTCAGTGATGTCGCTGAGGTAGACGTCCACGGTGGGTAAGGAATCCAGAGCCTCATCCTTTCCAGGAGTGTCTCGAAGTATTCTTTTCTGCAGGGGCTCATTTGCGATTGGTTGGCCAATCGACGCCTGTTTGTTAACAGGCAAAGGACTAATTTTCCTCTTAGGGAATGATTGTTCGCTAATGGATCCCCCCTGGGTTACGGGTGGAAAGGCAAGCTGCTTTGCAATTTTGCCGAAAAGTCCGTATGGTTTGTTCCCAGCTCAGGGGTAGGTGCACTCAGAACAAAACGGCGGCTACGGCTAACTGCCGTTGTAGGGATCTTGATTGGAATCCCCCATGGTCCCCTTGCAGTATACTCAGGATCCTGCAAATGACATACTGGATCGGAGGGCTCTGTTAAAGGAAATTGGGAAAAAGGGTTGTCCTCCTCCTCCTCCTCCCCCTCCTCCTCATCATCAGCATCATCATCATCATCGTCGTCGTCGCCCATGGCAGATTCGGGTTCCTTGCATTTGACAAATAAATAACGAGGCTGTAGCCAATCCAGCCGCGCGACAACGAGATGGGGAGATTTGCTCACGAACTCCTTGGGAGCGTTGACAACTTCGTTCAGGGATACAGCATATGAGATTTCCAGTTTACTCTGCGGCCACGATCCAAACCCAGCTCCAGTATAATAGGTTGCGACATCGAACGAACTGCTCATGTAGACGCCATTCCCGAATACACGGCCATGCCTGATTTCCTTGAAATGCAAACCTTCGCGCACGATGCCGTGCCAGTTCGCAAAGGAACTCCCATGCCAGGCAAAAATGGTTGGATACTTGAGGGGTAATCTCTCTTTAGCCTCAACAACTGCTTGCACGAATCGCTGTTCCTTGTCAGGCGCGCCCTGGGCAAATCGGAACTGCATGAAAGCTTCCATCCCAGACACGCGGTCACTATCATGGTCATCTTCGATTATGCATGAACGGTTTGAAGAGATAATCCAACGTAACACATCCAGCGCCGACTTGGAGATCTTGCAACGCCAATCAGAGAGGTGAGGTTTCGCTTTCTCAGAGGCATTTTCCAGGAAATCTCTAATTTCATCAACAGAGGGTAAAGTTTCGAGTAGCAACATGATGGTGTGCCGTTTATGCACATCCTTCAAGTCATCAAAGTTGAGGTTATAGACACAAATTGTTACATAATAGCATCTGGATGGGTTGTCGACAGCAGAAACTCCAGAAGCAGGTCGGTCTGAAAATCTACGAGTGACAAGTCTGGAAAGATGTATCTTTGGGAACGAGTGTACGTTCTGGACTCGAGAGTGGAACTGTTCGTTTGGGAACGACGGGTTACAAACAGCAACCCAATCTCCAACACGAACGGGACAGTATGCAATATCGCTTGTGAAACAGAGTTCCAACTTTGATAGCTTGAACTTTGCAGCATATTCGCCCAAGCGGGTGTTGGCTTTCGGTCCTGCGGTCAATCCAATCGTCCGGGGAGAGCATCCTGTGAGAGAAGGGACCAAAATGCCCATCCCAGAAGGAAAGTCGGCCAAGCGATTTTGCTTAGCGCCGGTATACGTGAAGCTAATCAGCAGATCGACGACATTAGGCTGCGATCCAATTTCCCATTCTAAACTGGGGCCGAATCCAAGAGCCATGTACTGAAATAGACAGAGGTTTTTCGAGCAAACGTACGGCTTGAGAGCTTCGAATGCGTCTTCTCTCTTGCAGTGGCAGACAAGGCAGAACTCTGTGCACCTCGCGAAGTGACGGAGAACGAACTGCATTTGATAAGTGGAAATGACGCGTCTTCCCGGGTACGCTCCATCAAATGGTCAGCTGTTAACAGCTCTGGTAGCACGGTTGATGGAGAAGCTAAGCTTTCCTCTTCCTTGTATTTCTTAAGTGAAGGGTTGCCTTGCTCGAGAGCTTTCCCCTGGACATCATTGAAGAAAATCTCTGCTCCTGTCCATGAGAAGGAGAACGTATATCGGGATCGCAAAATCTTGATAAAACGCTCATTGAGAAGAGTGTTTAGAGGTTTGCTGATAAACGATCGTGTCATCTTTCGCTGTTTCCATTCGTTGACTGGAAATTGTTGCTCTTCATCAGTGGTCTGACTCTTGGAACCATTGCGTTTGAAAGCCATGTGCGCACTCTGAAGGCTGGGTTTATATGAATCGCATAGATCTGCGCAGAATTCTATGTTCACCTTTCCACGTAACGCATCCTCCTGTATAATCTCTTCGAGAGAGCGCTATCTATTGATGTAGCGGATAAGGCAGACAAGATATTGGTTTCCGCTCACACGCCAGGCCTACATAGCTTCCTCTGAGATTCCAAGCTTTGAGATTTGACAGGAAATACTGGCGATTGGGCTTGCTTGGTTACCAAGGTATCCCACCTTGAAGCCGGCTGTCTTAGCAGTACAAAGGTCTGCTGCCATCCTGGCAAGGATATTTTCGTCAGGAACTTTGGTTTGTGTATCCAGACCTAGTTTCCAAACGCGGGGTTGAGTAGGGTTAGGAGTGCGAGGAGACCATTGACAGTTTCCGTCGAAATTACCACCAATATCCGACATATCGACTTCACCGCCCGCATTTGGTGAGAATGCCCTGTCCAGGATTTTTGAAATTCGAATGAGCATGTCAAAGATACGGATTCCGCTCAAACGGGTCTGGACTGCTTCCAAAGCGTCAGTGACCGCCTTGGGGACATCACTAGAAGTTGTAAACACGAAACTGCTATGCTCTGTCGGATAATAAGAGAGCTCTACAACAAGATATAGTCAGAATAGTCTTTCAAAGCCAAAGGCAATGGCTAGAATACACACCGTCAATGAGGAGTTGAATTTCTACGGGTTTTCCCAAGCTAGGGTTTGGGGAATAGGTGCAAGATATGACACCATCATCCTCACCAGCTCTCACATCTACCATACAATGATTGCCCTCGTTGGATGCCTCCTTCAAGTCGCGAAAAAAGTCGCATCGTGGCATGTTGAGAACAGGAAGACAATAGGGACTCTAAGCTTCTTGAGGTAGCATGGGAAGCAAATCCGCTTGAAGAAAATGGAGATCTCCCGAGAACTTTGGAAAATATTGAGACAAGAGAAGGCGAAGCCTATGAAGATAAACAAACAACAGCTTAAAGTGCTTTTCATGAGAAGGGAGAACAAGGAGTTTGCCGGGAATCATGGGGAATCAAAGTGATGATACCACAAATATTGAAGCGACTCCAATATCTTTCCCCTGAGAAGTATATGAAAAGAAGACTGAGGCTTGATGTGTATCGTCAAGAAATTTCTTTAGCGCCAACTAAAGAAAGGAAAGGATGAGAGAAAGAAAAGACAGAGATTGGTGCGGTTGGAGTCTTGCCTTCATGAATACAGGGCATTTGTGTTCATTCACACAGATCCCCAAGACAACCAGTTCTTAAAGAGGTAAGGCAGCGGCATAGGAGGGGAACAGGTTGACCTTATAGCAATATATGTTCTGCGCATAGACATAGCAACCAGAACATAAAGAAGATGAGAATCTGCCGATATCTCTAGCTTTTCATTTTGGACTGTACTTTGTAACAGCAAGTAGAGAAGACTTTCTTAACCAGACATACTATGAATGGGCTCTATATTGCCACGACAAAAGGGTTTCAAGAATGCGACTCCGTCCTATGTGGAGGCTTTTCCATTGTGAGTTGATTGTGAGTTGATTGTGAGTTGATTGTGAAAGGGGCAGCAAAAGCTCAGCGCCAGGCAACGGTCCATATTTGCTGGTTCGCTGAACCTGTCAGCTGTGATTGTGACTGAGCTCCCCAGGCTACCTGCAAGAGAGACCGATATCCCGCACAGAACATTTATACTGTACTTTGCTAAGCTCTTCGAATTATCATCTTCAACAATTCAAGTGCTGGAGCTTGTTGTCCACGATGTCTTGAGGTTCAAGCTCTGAAATTGGTGTCAGACCTTCGTGCGAGAATCAGACCTCCACCAAAAACCATGTCAAAACTCCCACTCCTACTTTTATTCTTTTTTTTTGCGAATTTCTGAAAAAGTGTGTCCATGTATCAATTCCATATATAGAAAGATCTCACATCCATCAGTACGCCAAACGTACAACCCAGGGACTGGCTCACTGCCTTTTAAAAAGTGACGAACTGCATAAAGACTTTAACCTTCAGCAATTGAAATGTTGGAGCCCCACTTGACAAACCCATTGGTGCAAATGCAACAGGTGATGGATTCACTGTAGATCTGTGTCTTCAAAAAACTTTCACTTGTCAAGGCTAGATCCAGCTAAATATTGAGATGAGCCTGGGCACGGGATGCCTTCTGGTGATGGTAGCTGAGGCTTTAAGAAGAACTGCTGAAATCATCATCTGAATGATTTAGCAGCATTGCTGTTGGCATTGGACAGGATCTTTATAAGACTGTTAGTGAATGTTTCCGAGGTCCCTCATTACCCAAGAGAACTGGAATTCTTGGGGTGAAATGCATTCTCCTAATAGCACAAGGTTCTGTTCCATATTATCTCTATTGGTGTATATGGGAAGGGCTGGTGAAAGCAAATGGAGGCAGGTTGATGTCGGCGTCACGTGCAATGGGGTTTCCATGGATTGTGTATTAAGGAACTAAGCTACTCCGTACAACTAACTATTTAGTTATTTAAAATTAATTTAGTTAGCTAGTTATGATAAATATTTATATTAACTATAACTATAATTTATATATTATAAAAAAAAATTTAAATAAGTATTAATTTAAAAAATCATAAACCTTTTATCAATTCAAATAATTTATTTACATATAATATTGTCTAATATATATTGATTATAAATACTCTCGGTGTAGAGAATAGTTCATAATGTGTTTAACTAGTTTTTCTATAGTTATGGTTATGTAAAATTTATTGTAAAGGTTATAAGTAATGGAGAAGTGGACCAGAAGGTTGGTGGAATATGTTTCAGCGCGGTTCAATTAACTATGAGCGCAATATCTAACGCTCTATAATTCCCCCAAAAAGGAGCCATGGTATGTCCATCAGGAATATTGGTCCAACTTGGGTATTTACAATTCATGTCCACTTTCCAATCTTCAATCGAGATATATCTCATCCCGCAAACGCTGTAGATTTCGAAACAGCCCACCAGCAGCTCCGCCTCCACCGCCACCACCACCAGCCGTAGTGCTAGCGGTAGAAGTGCTATCCTGACTCCCTCTGCTATCATCCCTTGTATCTCCCTCCTCACGCATCCCACCAACCCCAGCAGCAGCAGCAGCCTTTCTCTCCCTCTCTCGCTCAGCGACCGCAGCCTTTCTCCTCTCCTCAACCAACTTCCCCAACCCCTCCACAAACCTCATCCTAGCTTTCTCCTCCGCTGTCCCCTTCCACACGCCCGCCAATTCCCTCAGAGCCTCCACCTTCCTCGCCGCTGCCTCAACCCCCCCACCGCCACTTCTGCCACCCTCACCACCCTCCCCTCCATTAAGCAACTCGACAACCTCCGCTCGCAGCTTCTTCGCCACCTCTTTCCCCTTCTCTTCACGACTATGCTGGTTCTCCGTGCCCGGCTCCGGCGCTGAGACGGAGATGAACGAGGACGCTAGTGAGGTTTCGGAGGGTGCAAGGGGCCATTCCATGGCTTCGTTGAAGGTGTGTATCACTTGTTCCAGCCGGGCACGGACCTGGGTTAGTGTGCGGAGCTGGGTGAGGCAGATGGGGTCCAGGGGATTTGCCTGGTCTTGTGTTTCCGATTCCTTCTCTTGTGCTTGATCGCGTTGCGCCTGTTGTGTATGGGTGGAATCTTCCACTTCTCCTGCATCCTCCTTTGCTTCTTTCTCTTCCGTCCCCGTAGCCGTAGCAGAAGCCGTAGATGCAACCACCATTTCCCCCGCCGGCACAAACTTCCCAATATCCCCCACCAACCCTTCCCCCAATGCCTCAGTCAACCCCATTGCCTCCCCCCTCAACACCTCAACTTCATACGCCAACCGCCCGCCGCCACGCAGTATCTCATCCGTCAACTGTGTTAGGGTATTTGACAACCGTGCATTCTGCGCGCTGAGCTGGGTAACGAGGGATTGTGTTTGAGTGGAGAGAGCGGCAAGGGAGACCGGAGTGACATCTGGTCGGAGCTGAGATTGGGGCTGGGATTGGGATTGGAATTGGGATATTGAAAGGGGAGGGAGTGTATTATTGAGGTAGTCGACCGGGTCGAAGAAGGGATCTGTGAAATGGGAGAGGGTGGGGTCGATATGTGATGTTGATGGGGCGATTTGTGTTCTGTTTTTAAGATCCGCTGAGTGATCGTGTGGATTGGATGCCATGGCCCGTGGTGTGAGATAAATACTCACAATGTGACTCGGATTGAGAGACGAAGACAAGATTTCGTTTTTCTGTCCTTCTCAGTTTTAATGGTGGTTTGAGATGTGGTGGCGATGGTGGTCCAGTTTCCACCTTGGAGACAGCGTCAAAGGAAAAATTAGATGTCATTTATTGAACAATTACAATCTGGCAGAAATACAAGAGTAGGTTCATGTAAAACACTGCATATAGACACCACGTCATTAATATAAAATTAACACAAATACTGATGAAGATTTGTTTGTGAGAGCAATTTGTGACTTAAAAATTGCGCCCATTGTTGACGGTTGTAGTGTAGTTATGTCTGGTTATTTAGAAGAAAAAAGTTGTTATTTATAACTAATTCAACCTCCTAGTTACTCAATAGGACACATTTCGATTAAAACATCAATATCCAACTTCACATATCACCTCCTAGCTAATTCAACATCTTAATCACCCCTAACAAGGAAGCTGTAAACCAAGGAAGGCTTGCATAAGTCATTCCAGCGTACAAAAATGAGCAATGTACTACAGTATTTCCCAATGAACTTGATCATTAAATCACGTGATACCCATGATATCAAACTCTGGAATCATAGACTAATATACCATGTAGATCATGAGTGGTTTCTCATGCACGCTGTGATGAGCCAAAACAACAGTGACATTGCTATCACCAAGGCTCCTCTTCACTCTGAAAAGAAGAGAGCCTGCGCAATCTCCTCTGCTCCACTAAAACCTCTGGATGATCCCCTCAGCCTCAAAACAACATGTCCCAGGATGTGTTAGACACTACAACAGCCACTACAGCTCAACTACATCAAATCAATATTGACTTCAATCCCCACCTGACCCTCTCACCAGGAGGAGAATTCATTGAGAATGTGACTGACTGCACTCAAGCAGTTCTGCTAACTGTGAAGAACTTCTCTTCCACAGTAAATTATAAACTCAATGCTCTGTTGAATCATGCAAACAACTTCTTCTCTACAGAGTTAATTACAGTGCTTGAGCTATGCAATGAGCTATCTGTGATACTGAATCTGATACTCTGCACTTATGAGAACTCTCTATCATGTCAGACTGCTGTACTAAGACAAGTCATGAAACATAGCATAGTCAAAGTCATTAAAGATCTCACTGTCAAATCAAAGTCTATGTTGACATATACTACTGTTGCAATAGCTAAAATGATTCTCTCAAACAATCTCCTTCAGACTGTTTCAGTAATGAGATAATCTCACAAGAAGCAGATACAGCAGATCAATTATCTTCTACATCAAAAACAGAAAGACAAATGAGTTATGATTAGATTATTTGCAGCATATACTGCTCATGATCTAGATTTTCAAGCTATTCATAAACAAATACACATTATGATCTCTGATCTGATCTGAATCACTGATGTATGACACTGTTTATCAGAAATCACTATGACTGTTCTCTTTTCAGCAAAGATAGTCTTTATTCTTGAACATGCAGATAAGCTAAAAGCTGCTATAGATGACTGTCTTATTAAATAATAGAAATTCTGAATCATCTTTATAGTTGATTTAATCAAGAAGTTGACACACAGCTTCAATGAACAGAATATCACTCTAATTTCAATGTCAGAAGAGATGCTTCTTTCTGAGATTTAAAACACTATTTATTAAATTTTAATCATCTGTTGTCACTGAACAAAGAAGTCCACAGACCTCAATCTGCATGAAAAGTATGTTTGAATTGAAGTACAAATCTTTGAAGTGCATCTTTTTTCAAACAAACTTCATCTTTTCAGTTGCTTAGTGATGATTAACAAAATCAAGAAATTATCAAAGATTTCAATTTGCATAAGATATCATAACTTTCACATGAAAAGAAACTGTGTGCAGTCTCTATATTGTGAGAAGTACAGCAGTTTCACACACTCAGACAGATGTTAAATACCAGCTCACTGCTACAACTGTCTTAATTCTCATCTCACTCTCAGTACTGACTGTTCAGCAAGACTCAAAATAGTTTCTGAATATATAAAATGCATCTTCTGCTGTCAGCTTCACTTAATACATGAAGCTGATAGAAGAGCATTCATCTTAGCTCATCAAATCTCAGCAAAGAAGAGCAATTCAGAGCTAAACTCTAAAGATTTCATCTCATCTTCTCTCTTAGCTCTACTGACATCAGTCACTAGCTCTCAGAGCAATCAGACAGATTTAATGACCTACTCTCAAACAGACATCAAGATCACATTAAATATGAACCTTCACTAATGAAGAGCAGTCATAACTCTCTTCACAAATCTACACTCACTGTATATTAAGTCAATGTAAAAAGACAGTCAAACTCTCATAATATTACTCTCTCACTAGCAGATGAAAGAGTCTGTGACATTGTGATCATTTAAAAACTCTGAATAGTCACAGATCTTTTCATCTGTCTTTTCAAAAGTCATTTCTCATACAAATACTTCATTCTGCTCTTCTTCAACTGAATCAAAAGGCCCAGAGTACTGCTCTATGTCAAAAATGAAAGAGCTCTTGTGTCAATTCAATCTATAGCAAATATCTCAAAAAATGTTGTCTATGTCTTAGTTAAAATCTCTAACTTCAAAAAAGCTAATATTTATAATATATACAATGTCTCATTTGATGTTACAGATGCAGATCAAAGTCTGCAAGACCTTCTTTCTCTTCCACACACCACAAAGAATATTCTCTAAATGGCATTAGAAGACTTTAATATTAGACACAGAGTATGAAACTCTACAACTGATAGATATTCTCAAATAGAAGAGAATCTATATAACTGAGCAATTTCTTTCAAACTTCAGCTTCTCAACTCAGCTGAATCTTCTACACATAGATAAGAAGACATACTTGATTTTATCTTCTGTGCTGTCAACTCAACTATCTGTCATATTGCTTCTGAACTATACTATATCTCAGATCATGAAACTTTTATTACAATAGTTTAGTTATTATAGACTCAGACTCAATTGATTAAAAAGAAGAAGCTTAGCCTCACAATCTGCAATGCTGATCACTTCTTGCAACTACTCACTTCTTTCTTCTCACTGATCTATGAGAACATGAATGAGAAAGCAGCAGACATTGTGAAATCTCTTTAACTGACTTTACAAAACTTCTGCTCTCTCATTCTAGAACTCAAAAGTCATCATGCCTCATGGTAAACTCCAGCAGTCAAGATAGTCAAAAGAGTATATCATGCAGCACTTAGACACAGTCTTTGTTAATCAGAACAAATGAAATTTCAGATAGAAATTAGAAAAGTTAAAAGAGCATGAAATCACTAGTGAATTGAGAAGGCTTTTTTTCTTATCAGATGTCTACAAGATTATTAAATGATATAAATATCAATCTCAAGATCTCACTTCTTCTCTATAACATTCTAATGAACATCTAGAACAATCTTATACTGGTAAATCTTCTCTACTACATGAGATACTTCTGACTAAACATCTTAATGTAGAAGATATTTCAGAGTACATATTAACAGTTTCATGCAGAGAGATACTCTGAATGTCTTTTACAAAGCAGAAAGTCTACAGAGTTATTTGTCAGACACTTAGCATATCTTCTGATCTGAATGATATTACAGTCAAAATTCTTCAAAAGACATAGTCAGTGATAGGCAATTGAATTGTTCTACTTTTTCAGCACTATATAAATCAAGAAATTCACTCTCAAAGCTTCAAGAAGACTGAAGTAATGATTATTTCAAAGTCAGAGAAAAGAAATTACTCTCTATCAAAGTCTTACTGCTCAATTATACTGCTATTCTGTCTCAGCAAAGAGCTGAAGTGTCTAATAGCTAGATGAATGTTTCATCTCACTCTTTATCATCACATTTTAGCAGAAGATCATTGTAGTGCTGTTCAACAGAGATCTGCAGTAGATCTCACCACTGCACTAGTTTATAACATACAAGAAACATGAGACAAACATCTTCTGACCAGCATGATCACTCTAGATGTCAAAAAGACCTTCAACAGAGTTCTTTGAAATCAGCTTCTAAAACATCTACAGAAACAGAGCTGGCTGACACTTCTGATAAAGTGAGGAGTGTCTTTTCTCAATTAATAACTAGCTTTGATTTAACTAGATAATATTTAATCAAAGATATTTCAGATTTTTTATAATCTTTCACAAAGATTCTCTGTCTCATCAATTCTCTTTCTGCTCTATGTAGAACCTCTCCTCCAGCTTATCAAAGACTAATTTGAGTACACAGATGATATTGCAATTCTGAAGACTGGAAACTTTCTTAAATGAGTAGAAAGTCAGCTTCAGAATTCTCTCAATCATACTCTGAAATAAGATATTAATAATAAAATCTCATTTGACTCAGTCAAGATGAAGCTTTAATACTTTTATAAAAAATCAAGTACTCAGAGCTCTTCATCTTCTTTAATGAACAGACAATTTCTCTTAATAACTATATCAGATGACTAGAGATTTTCTTTGACAGAAAATTACTCTTCAGAGAATATATTCATCTTGTACACATTTAAGTCAGAATTATTATAGAATATATTAAATCATCAAATGAAGTCTTGTTTGAAAGTTAAACACATTTATTCAGACAAACAATTTAAAGCTGTGTCTTCAACACTCTGTTTTATAAAGCTGAGATCTGATTTTCAGAGTAAATCTCTTAAACAGTCATTGATAAAATTCAGATAGTCTTCAACAACACTGCTTGAGTCATTCTATCTGTCTTTGTTATAATATTTATCTCTGTTCTTCTATATAAATCAGACTGAGACTCAGTCAAAGTCTGACTAGAAAGAATACATGACTGACTAGCTGTTCACATAGCTGTAGCTGATTTATCACATCTTCTACACAGAAGATGATATATCTCACATTTTAAATGAATTAGATGAAATATTAAAACAACAGTCATCATATCTGACTCTAAGTTCTTATCTTCTTGAGACAATTCTGACATATTAAATAGAGAGTAAAAGACATTAGAAATTGAAGCTGTGAGATAAGCTGCAGAATTAGTAGCTTTTCACAACTGACTTCAGAAAGCTGTATTTCTTCTTGATCTCATCACATACACTGATGACTTCAAAGATAGTCAAAAAGTTTTAGATGAAGACTACTATCTATACTGAGAAATAAATCAATCTCTGAAGCTTGATAAGCTGTCTTTTAGCTGCATTGCTAAGGTTTTTAATGCTGAAGTGCTTGCAGCAGTTGTTAATCTCAAGACAGTGCTACAGAATTTCTTTTTTATGTTCACATAGCACATTATAGTGATTCTAGACAATGAAGAGACTGCAATAAGACTTCACACAAACACATTTACACAAATATCTTTTCTCATCTTTGCTAAGTTCAATGAACTCTGCAGGTTTTGGACAAAACAGAGCTCAGGTCCAGTCAGCTCAAGATGAGTCTATGTTTGATGATACTTCAGCCATGCTGAAATTTCAAACAATGATGCTGCAGATGCTGTGATCAAGTCAGTCTGCATAATGAAATGCACTTACTGCACTCTGACTCTGATATAGATTAAATTCTGTGTTAAAGAACACTTCAATATCTCACTGCAATAATACTGAAGCTTCAATAGCACATCATGATACAAGAAACTCAATATCTTAATGTCAAAAGAATCTCTCTCTGAGCTCACTCTTTCTCAAAGAAATTTAAGTCACTTGCTAGCAGCTAGAACAGATCACAGTGACTTTGCAGCCTATCATCACAGATGAGCACATGATGATACACTTCTCATCTGCTCTTACAGCTGAGATTAGACCTCTGAGCACTTCTTCTTTTGCTAGAAAGATTGGAATATTGAACAAATTAAAATCTCTAAAGTATGCTGAGAATCAAAAAAAGCAATTGACTGACTTCTCAGCATAGTAATAGGAGCTATGATCTTCTCTACTTGATGCACTAATACTCACTTCTTCATCAACATCCAATGCTGCTACTAAAATCTGTTCAACATCTGACTTCTCCCTCCCCTTCTCTCTTTTCTATATTTTTTATATACATTTCTCATCACCCCTACACACCACTCTAGAAGCCCTTAGCTTCCTCAGTCCTGTAACCTTCAGCTACTACACCATTCAGAACCTCCAGGACAGAGGCTACTCGTACATAAACTCTCAAGAGGGCTTCAGCTGACTAGACATGTCAGGCAGCAGATTAGCTGCTGTGCTGGCACATCTGATACCCTTAGGGAGGTGCTGTGACCGCGTCAGCAGACTATTCTTAGTCAGCTAATCACGTGCCTCTAGGCATTAAATAAGTAATAATAATAATAATAATAATAATAATAATAATAATAATAATAATAATAATAATAATAATATACCATGTAGGTCATAGACTATGTAGAGGTGCAGGCCGTGCTTGAGATGCCATAAACAGACTCTGTATGACTGGAGAAATATGAGATTTATCCATACCTGCTTGTCTTAGAGAGAAGAAAAAAGCAAAAAAAGCAAATAGAGAAAAGAGAAATATCATATATACTCAAGTCTAGTCAATGACTATATAACTAACGTTAACTAATGTAGAACCATTTATGATAAGATCTTTGAGCTGTCTCTCATTCTTATCATCTGTATTAGAAATGACCATCACCTTCAAAAACATCATTCTGAGTATCTTATATAGAGTAGCAGCCGACATGATCATAGTTAGTATTTACAGTTTCATAAAGATATCTGTCATCACCTCCATCCCAGCTAACTAGTTAACTTGGTTACAATTTTTTATTATTAAAGTATCTTTCGCTAGGCCAGTTGCGGCATCACCGTTGCCGCTTTTGCTCACGCCGCTTCAACCGACCGCATCTATAAAACCCTCATCTCGCGCCCTGTGAATCATGTCGTCGAGATTTCACTGGCTTTATATAGAGTTATTAGGTAGCAATGCTTTTGTTGTGTCTGCGGCGCTAGATTTATACGATCGTAGTTTTGTAACAGGGCCATTGGTAACTAGGAGAAAAAGGCAGAGGGAGCAACGTAAAGACATTAATTAGTTAGCATAGCACGAGGCTGCATAGCTAGTTATCTCTCATGTCTATTTCCACCTCCCATCGGGCGTGCCCACCTTGTGATAATTTCTATCAATGTCACTGTTTTGTCTAGCTCTGGAGAGAAGTATAAAACCCCCCCCCCCGGTTCTGGATATCTATATTTATATTCTTAAACCGTAATACATAGTGGGAGAGTAAAGAACAATATGATGCCAATCTACAGGCCTCTGCGAAAGAAAAATCGGGATGTAGTACGTAACATTTGAGTGCCGGGGAGCATTATTTCCATTCAGCAAGGTACGTCGAAGATGAGAACAATGAATGGGAGGGAGGGGAATGCGATACTTGGGCAGTCCCTGTTTGTTCATACCTTGCTATGGTTGTTACCCGACCATGTACACCTACGAATCGAAACGAACTACTTACTCCCTTGTGGTGCTCATGGATATAGGTCATATGGCTACTTCTCGGTAGGAGTTCGCTATTTTGTGTCCGCATTTTCTCATAATGTTGCGTCAAAAAGCTTCTAGAAACCAACAATGCCTTTGGGCTCCGGCCACCTCTAGATATTTAGTCATCCGCCCTGTCTGAAGCGTGGGCATGGTTTATATCCAAAGAGCCTTGACAAGGCAGAGTTATGCACCTAAAACGGCCATGGAGAGATCAAAATCATGGTCAATGCAAGTAATTGTGTGGACTGCCGTGGGGATTTCCTTTCCCTGGGAACAGTTGATGGGGAGTAAAAAAATGTTGTGCCTTGAGTTGTGTCCACAATCATGGTTGTTGCGGGTTTGAAACATGGTTTTCCTTAGGGTTGAAGAGCGCCCTAGAGAGAAGATCTCTCTGAAGTTTAAAAAGTATTCTGGGGATTGAAAATGCCCCGGGGTTCTTAAATGGCATTTTCCGTTGGAAAGTGTGGGTTCCCTCAAGCTTAAAAGAGCATCTCAGACACTAAAATGCCTCAGGACTATATAGAATATTTCAAGAATCATGGCATTGATAATGAAATGTGGTCTTTCTTGAGATTAGACCGCATCCGAAGAACCAAAAATGCCTCAAATCTTAAAAGGTTCAGGGGAATCATGATTATCTGAGATATACGTGGTCCCCCTCAAGATTCAGAAAAGGTTCCGTTGGGGAATTTTAACCCATGAGGTTGATACGGTAAACCGTGGTTTCACCCCCCTCAAAAAAAAAATGCCGTTAGAAAGTAAAAGGCAGCCCCAGAAGAGACATAAATTGATGCACGTTAGGCGTTGAAAGAAAGTGCCCCCAGAAAATATTTATACTTGTCCGCAACATCAAAACCTCCCACGGTTTTTGGAATCACAACCGTTCATTAGTCATCTTAGCCTTGGCACCACGTGATTCCTCAATGACGGCGTTGGCTAACGGAAACTCGCATTGTCTGATAAGGGTAATAGCAACAGCAGAGCAACCACCCGCAAACAACTTACCCCGTAAACAACTACCCCACAGAAACTGCTGAGCAACGGCATAGCAACCGCTGGTGGAAACGGGATATACGAACAGAGGCTTCCCTGGGCCCTTGTTTTGTAGAGCATCTCAGTATTTCGTGGAAGTAACTTAACTACCTGGTTGGCAATCACATCTGTTTATCTGCGCCTAGATTTGAAGCCGTGGCAGTTATAGAAATTTAAAACATAACTTTGAACTCTTATTTTTTAAATATAAACTTAAGTATTATAATAAATAAATATTTATTACAAGCAGAAGTATAAAGTTAAAACATTCTATAGCTTAAAAGACATTTTAATAGCTGTGAAGATCAGCTACATGCTTTGCAGGTTTTTAAGGCTACAAGTTACAATAAAAGCAGAGAACACTACTACACTGTAGTTACCACAATCAATTACTTCACATTAGAACTAGAGATTGATATATATATATAAATCTACAAGCTAGCTAGTGATTTTAAAATGCAGTAACCAAGAATGTTGATTAAATATTTCAATTTTCGATGGTCATCAAAAATCGCATGGGCCGCTTAATAGTTCGGGTCGCTCAGTGGTGAATTACGTTCGATAATGAATAGTTATGTAATAACTATTTTTTATTCAAGAGTTCTGCCGTTGAGATTCACCTTATTTGACACGTGATCGGTGGTATATTCGGGCTGTAGCGAGCGTAGTGAAGCCCCCAGTAGTTATGAAAAGCAAGCGAAGCATTGCTGCTTGTCTCTATCAAATGGAAAACCGACCTTCATGGTCACCCAGTTCCAAGTCTGAATAAACATCAGGAGTTCAAAAGTTGTTTTCCGGCATGTTTCACGATGTTTTTGTTGCCGCGAAAGGACTGCGGTCCTTGCGCTGTACTTCACATGTATGAGTGTACATCTATATTTACATCTTCTTGTACTAGAGAGAAGCAGAACAAAATACGTAACGTATCTTTTCTCTGGATCAGCACAAGTCGAAGGATGCATCAAACGATAAACTAATTAAGTTTCGTGTTCAACCGGAGTTCGACTATCGCAAAGTTTGGCTTGGCTGCCGAGCCTTTTCAAACCCGCGTCCCATGGATATGCACAAAGGAATAATCTTATTTCTTAGGGATGCTTCGGTCATTTGTTTTCTATTCTTCCCTCTCCCCCCTTATCGTCCTGGAGATATACATACATATTATCTCATATATATCCCTCCTGCTTCCATTTGGTTTAATTTTTATTTTAGGCTGTGGTATAATCTTCATTGTCAATATCATTGCTCATCTGCTATTTCTATTGATAATTACCTAGTTAAATAACCGTCGCGCACTGCTTGTACAGAGAGACCTCAACGAGAATATTTGATAAACAGAATTTCCTTTCTAACGATCTTTGGTTTCTCTCCGTTTAAATGAGACCTTTATCATTCCCTCGAGGGCGGTTCAGATAGTCTACTAGGCGTGGTCGTTTGAACTGTTTATCTACCCGTCGGGGTTAGGTTCAGATGACCTACACACAAGATGGCTTTGTCGGGATATCTGGATTATGAAAGTCTGCGAGCGGGGGCCAGCTCGAAGCTGGCAAAGCTGTCGAGGCTGCTGTACTGGCCGAATAAGACAAGGCTGTTCTGGGCCATTGCTGGTGCGCTGCTAATCGTGATGTTGGTTTTTTCCAGTGGATGGCATCTCGTACGTATCAACCTAGGTACCTTAATAGAGAAAGTGAAAATTCCACTGACATCATCTCAGATTTTGGGAATTCCTGATTTCTCTGTGCAGCATCCTACGCAGCCTGTAACTATGCTCGCGGAGGGTGAGATATCCCCCCTTCTCAAACCCTTTCCGCCCAAGATAAACAAAAATGGCACATTCGCCAGTGGCGTTACGAAGCCGACCCCAAATTTCTATCTCATTATCCGGGGGAGCTGGAACGATACCAGAATCTGCAGGACACTATTCACATCCATGATTCTTAACTACCCACCTCCCACAGCTGTTTATCCGGACGATTCAACACCGAAAGAAGGGCAGGCAGAGCAGAGCCAATTAGATCCAGCTCTAGTCATGTACAACTACCTCACACAGAGCAACCATATGAAGGATGACGATGTCCTTTTGATTGTCGACAATGACACTTGGTTCCAGCTTCCTCCCGAAGTCATGCTTCAACGCTTCCATGAAATGCTGAAAAGAAGTAACGAACATTTGCGGCAGAGGTACGGTTCTGTACTGCGGAATATCGGAAAAAAGGCGGACATAAGCGTCTTCAAGTCAACTCAAAAGTACTCCCAGCGCATAATCTTCGCCGCCGATAAGATCCGTCGCCCAGACTACGCATACGGTGTTTCAGGTCTCGCAGTCCTGAATTCCACCCTGGTGCCGGACATCCATGGCCCGGAAACCGATTCTGGTAAAAATACAGCCCAGAGTCGACCGAGATGGTTGAACGCAGGCTCCCTCATCGGCTTAGTGGGCGATGTGAAACTCTTGTATAAACGCGCAGTGGAAATAAATTCCAAAAATGTCACCCCAGCCGACGAGCAGACAGTCCTTTCCCAAATATTCGGAGAACAGGAATATGTCCGAGAACTCGACAGAAACATCTCTCCACCCAACTGGTACACCAACTTAGGTAGATTACTCGGTATCCGCCCCCGGGTCAACATATCGAATATATTCGTAAATACAGATCCAGGTCGCCGCTACGAATACTCTATCGGCCTAGACGACAAATCCAACCTCTTCTTTACCGCCTCCCACGCAGAATCAGACCTCGTATGGCTAACCTACAACATCTCCCGACTCAACCCCCCCCAACAGACCCAAGGAGTGCCCGACAATGCCCCCCTCTATTTACCCAAGGATATATACCGGTGTACCAACCCGTTCAACCCGCCTGGCCCATTGATAAAGGAACTAATGCCCCCCTACAACGAAACGGTCGATTACCTACCCGACCCCCAAAACACCACCTGGCGCGCCATCCCGCTCGCCACCAATGTCCTCTCAGCCTCCATCCCCACCTTACTCTACACAAATCCAGACAACATGACCATGACCAGCGACACTCTCCACGCCTGGTGGGATAACATGTGGTACCATCCGTACTCCCGCGCGCTGCTGCGTAAGTATATGCGGTCATCCCGCAGCGCGCTGGAGGCGGAGAAGGCGCTCTTTGGCTGGCCCGGAGCGTCGTGGAATGTGCGTGGCGGCAAGGGGGGTTTGTGGACGGGCAATAATTTGTGGATGGATTGGTCGAGGACGTGTAAAGGGGTCGAGGAGCAGGTGTTTGGGGATAAGTGGGGGCTGTGGGGTGAGGAGTTGGGGTTTGATTATCAGGCGCCGGTTTATAATAGGTTTGGGCTGCTGGTTACGGGGAAGGAGCCGGCCGAAGGGGGGAATGGCAGGAATCGGGGGAAGAGACGGAAGAGGGGTGGGAGTGGGTAGAGGATATGGAGATGGCGTCGGTGGTGTTGGCTTGAATGACTGGAGTTTCTTCAAATTTACAATGACTGTCTTGATTGACGAGATGATCTTGACTCTTACTAGAGGTTAATATCGCTATTACTTTCTTGCATATACTTTAAAAGCTGCTTTTCTATTATCTCTATGAAGATGCATGTATGCTTTTTCCCAGCTGGGTTTCATTCTTCTAGCTCCAATGCTTGTCAGCTCACGAATGCCTGGCATTCGGTGGGTCGATCTCCTCATCCAAGACTTGTTTGGTAATTTGTGATTCGTTAAATCAGGTTAACTCCTCTGAACAGCTAGATATAGGTACTAGTAGATGGAGGGGAAGACCTTCCATCAGCATTCGTCTAGCTAAACCCCTTAAACCCGCATCACATCTCTCACTGGAAGCTCCAAAAGAGCAGCTACAAAATTCTAGCAGCCTCTGCAGGAGTTGCAACCCGTCCTTCCAACAATTCTGAGATGAAGGATCAGGGAATCTGTCTTTGAGTGCTCTCTTTTTCCATTAAGCTTAACAAATCCGTGAAGTTCATCGTAAAGCTACTGTAGTTAGCTAGGATGTGGTTGTATCCTTCTACTGATTGAATAGCAGAGGGTTTATTTGAACGATTGCCAGTAACTTCAATAACCAGTTGCAATTCTACATTGCAACTTCAAGAATCCTCTAAATGTAGCAGGAGGTTAAAAATGCAAAAATGATAAACTCGAAGTCATCAGCTTCGGAAGCGACTTCAACCGAAAAAGGGGGGGGGGGGGGGGGGGGTGGAAGTTTCCATGATTCCCTGCCTCCCCGTATTCCTCCATATTTATGCTGTCCCAAGACACACCCAAAAAACTCCACCCTCAACCCAGACAGCAACGCACAACATATGCTTGGAATGGTATACATGCAAACGTGAACATAGCCGTAAAAGAACAACTCGTCGAAACACATCATCCCCCGCCACCAGCAACAGAACTACCCCTCCTCCTACCCTTCCCCAATGTCTCCCTAACAACTCTCAATATCTCCCTAACATCTTCCGTACTCAACCTCTCCTCCCGATCCTCAATAACAGTATCCAACAGCGCAAGAGCACCATAATCTGCCTCCTCATCGATACCTTCTTCTCCACCTTCTACCTCTCCACCCTCCGCCCCATCAACCTCCATACTCTCTCCCGCCCCTTCACCACCACCACCATCTTCTCCCCCTTCCTCTCCACCAGCGAGTGAATCAAGCCCAATACCCAAATTCACAATCATGAGCACCTCTGCCTTCGTGAGCTGGAACGGCCGTAGTTGGTGGATCACTTCGCGTAGGGCGATGTCGAGGTCTGTGGACTGTGTTTGTGTAGCATCGGTTCCACAGGCACTGGTATCATCACTTTCAATTGAAGCATTTGGAGCTGTAAAGCTAGGGTACTTAAGCAGGTGCGGCGAGAGGCGTGTTACGTAGTCATGGAACTAGAAGGGTTGGATTATTAGATACTTTCTCTCCTGGCACAATTTCCCTTTTTCCTGGCAGGATAATTATTATTATTATTATTATTATTTACAAACCTCCTTAACAACCGTATTATGATCCCGCAAATCTGGCTTGGGTATAAAATTCCTCGAGTTGGGCGGCGGGTTGGGAGGTTTCCGTGGAGGGTTCAATCTGAAATGCGCCAGCACCTCAACATTTGTTAGGATTGCGGATTGCCTGTCGAGGATCTGTATGTGCAAGGATTGGAAGTCAAATTACTGAATCATTCTGGAAGACCGGAACTGCTATTTGTTTACCTTCATGATATTGTGTATGGAGTAAAGATAATGCTTTGTTACAAGCAGGGAAGTACTCCGACTTTTTTTGTTTCATTTAACGCAGCTTGGAGCGGAGGCTGGCAGAAAATGGCGGAGCTCAAAGGCGGTGAGACGGGCCCGTTCTTGTATGAACTCCCAGACAAGAATGACAGAATGAGCGATTGCGGAACGTTCGGAATTCATACAGTAAAGATAATTTATTCCCAATTAACCACTACATCTACATATGAACATAATTTGCAAATTTCAAGTTTCAAAAAGAAAAAAAAAAAAATCTGTAAAAAACCCTATTTCATCGCTCAAGCACCTTTTGCGCCCAACTATAAAAAAAAAAGGAGAGAGAAGGAAAAACGAGTATACTGGAAAACAAGTCAAATTCCGAGAAGCATAGATCTCGCCATACAAATGCAAGCCTGTATGTGGGAAGAAAGGAAGAGAGGGAAAAGAAAAGGGAACATAGCTTGACCAAATAGACAAGCAAACATGATATCATACAGAAATGGAAACGGGGCCGAGCAACAAGAACGACGGGGGAAAAGAAAAGTCATGCCTTACTCTTCTTCTTCTTTTTCTTCTCACTCTTCGACTCACCCTCTCCATCATCCTCTGTCCGTTTCCGCTTCTTCCCCGCCTCCTTCTCAGCAGCCTTAGCAGCCTTCTTCGCCTCCTTTTTTGCTCTCTTCAGATCCTTCTTGCTAATCGCGATCGGGTTTCCTTCACTGTCAAATGTAATCTCGCCCCGTTCAAGTTTCCGCTGATACCGACTAATACTAAGACCAGCCTTGGCAGCCATCTTTTCCAGATCGTCAGCAGTGCCACTGGCACCCTCCTTTGCAGATTTCTTCGATTTTTCCTTCTTGTTCTTGGATTTCTTATCTGAGGAACTCTTCTTTGATTTCTTTGATTCCTCCTCTTCGGATTTTTCTTCTGAATCCTTTACGTCCGACGAAGGTGCGGCAACTGGTGGTTTAGACGAATTGGCTACGGGCTTCTCGTCATCATCTCCCATCTCAACATCTTCATCAGACTCTTCCTCACTCTCATCTTCGTCCTCGGATTCCTTAACTTCCTCAATCAGCTTCTTGTCCTTCTTTGGTTTCTTCGACGATGATGCAGCTGCACCTTCATCCCCTGCAAGCCCATCAGCATCTGGGTTATACTTTCTAGCTTCGTTGATCTCCCATTTCTTGGGCTGCGCGGTGGGAACGCCGTTGGGGCCGATACCGACACCCTTCGGCTTAAGGGGTTTGCCCTCCATAGCAGCTAACTTCTTCTCAAGATAGTATCGCGATTCTATACCAAGGGCAGCTTTCTCTTCTTCGGTAGGTTCGTTACCGTCAGCATCGACTTGCCAATCAGTCAGGGCATCGACGCGAAGACCAATGGCAGCCTTTGCGGCCAAAATACGGGCCATCTTGCCCTTGTTCTTGCCAGTGGCCTGCCCGATAAGAGACGCGTGGTAGATAAGACCATATTTTGGGGTGTCGTGTTTAGTTTTTAAGGCGCGAAAAAGCGCCTTTTCAGCTCCCAAAATCTGAATAGTACTGGCAGGGCTCTTGGACAGATTCACCAAGCTTCCAGCGTGCGCAATCAATCGAGCACCTACCAATTCTCCCACCAAGGCTGTAAGATTAGGGGCGATGGCAGTCATTCGGGCGGACAAGTAGTTTGCAAGTTGCTGGCGGTACTCTGAGAAACCAACAACTTCCTCTGCCAGAGCTTGAATATTGTCGAGATCGTCCACCGAGATATCGGTACCCATGGACCGGTCCGCAGCACCCTTCACAGCTGTCTCAATTTCCTCTGGAAGAATATCAGAAAGGTCCGCGTTCTCTGAGTTGGAACGCATGCCCATTTTCAGCACGACTTTGGCGTAGGCAATGTTGTCGTTGAGAATCTTGGCAAGTTCGGGGAAATGCCAGCCGTACCATTCCTTCACACGCATGGCATAGGTGTTCAGTTCCTTGTCGAGGTCATCCAGCAAGCCAATGGCCTGGACAATCATAGTGTCGATTTTGTCTGGTGAGAACTTGAGCTTATGTCGGGCTAACGAGTGAGATAGACCCAATGACATCATGGACATATCGGATGGCAGAAGGCCTGGTATCAGAGAAGGAAGATGTTCTCGGATTGCTCGGTAGAGATCCGTGGTAGTGGAGTCCGCAATTGGCTGTATTGAGAGTCCTGGAATTTTGCCAATGGCATTTCCTGAATACGCACACAGGGTAGGGGTCAGGACAGGGTTGATTTTCTGGCATAGAATCGAAGAGGAAATGCAAGCATACCAAGTTTTGGATCCGCAACAGCCAATGATACCTTTTTCTCATCTTTAATCGATTCAAGCAAATTAGCCAATCGAGGCGTGACCTTCCCCTCAACCAGAGCTGCGACTTCTTCTAGCGCCGTGGCCGCACTGTCAAATTTCTGGAAATTCTTCAATTTCATGCTACAAAAGCGCCGGGATGTCAGCAATTCACTGTTCTCAATACAAGCTATATACATGACCATATATTCCATCAAGCTTATCGCAGCTCGATTTCTGTACATAAGACGAAACCAATTGAACACAACACCCTCCCCACAGCAACACTTACAGGTTGGAGACGCCCTCCGCCGTTTGAGTCTCAGCCACTAGATCATCGCGCTTCAGCAACTTTTTATCCCCGGCCTTGAGCAGCGCATAACCGGCGCTCGTCTCCGTAAGGATAAACAGCGTCATGGCGGAGAGAGTAAGACGTGCGAGTGTCTCTTATATAATCTCTATTTAATCTTCACAACGAGATTTGCAGGAGAATTGGCCGCACACACAGCACCGGAAAGAGCGACCCTGACAGCAACCAGGCGCAGTTGCCCTGTAGAGCCGAGCAGGAGACACGGGACCGGCGGGATAGGAGGGAAGGTGCGATGCGTTGGGAAGCTTGACGCAGCTGTTTCCCGGTGTGGTTGGGGATTGTGCTCCTTCTCTCTTTTTTTCGCCGTATTATTTTTTTTTTTTGCAGGAAATTTCGCAGGTGGGCAAAATTCAAAAGCGGAGAGACGAAGGGATTATGTAATATATCACGTGAACTGGAGCTTGAAAGATTAGCTGAATAGAGGTTAGCCTGTTTGTGACTCCTTTTGCAATAACAGAACAAGATGAACAAGATCTCTACTATATTCGATATTTGATATTTGATGTCCGGTGCACAGGTGGTGTAGATTGTATTATAGCTCGCAATGGAGGGCTTGTTCTTCAACGTAAACGGCGGGTATGTCATATTCCAATGACTTGCAGTTTCTGTTATCTCGTTTTACTGACCACTTCCAGGTATATCGAAGGTCTTGTTCGCGGTTATCGAAACAGCCTGCTCACCTCACAGAACTATGGAAACTTGACCCAATGTGATACTATCGATGGTATGTCATCCCTTCATTGGTTCCTGTAGGTGATGTTTACTATTTTTGCAGGGGAAAAGTGAAGAGTTATTTAAGAGTTTGCCATTCTAACAAGATGATTATCTCCTATTACCCCTGGAATGCAGATGTCAAGCTCCAGCTGGGTCCGGCCTACGGCGATTTCCTTGCTTCCCTTCCCCCAAACCCCTCCACCTCCTCCCTCGCTGGCAAAACCACAGAAAAGCTAGTGGCTGAATTTCGCTACCTACAAGCCCAGGCCACAGGCTCCATCGCTAAGTTCATGGAATACCTCACCTACGGCTACATGATCGATAACGTCGCCCTGCTCATCACAGGCACCCTTCACGAGCGGGATACGCGTGAGCTGCTCGAGCGCTGCCATCCTCTCGGCTGGTTCGAGACCATGCCGGTCCTCTGCGTCGCCTCCAACATCGAAGAACTCTACAACTCTGTCCTGGTCGAGACGCCGCTGGCCCCTTACTTCAAGGGCAGTCTGAGCCACCAGGACCTGGATGAGTTGAATATTGAAATTGTCCGGAATATGTTGTACAAGAATTACCTGGAGGACTTTTATCGGTTTGTCAACTCCGAGCCGGGACTAAGGGGTACTCCGACATCGGAAATTATGTCAGAGGCTCTCGAGTTCGAGGCGGACCGTCGTGCTATTAATATCACGCTTAACTCCTTCGGAACGGAACTGTCTAAGGCGGAGCGGAAGAAGCTATATCCTGAATTCGGAAAACTGTATCCCGAAGGCTCACTGATGCTGTCGCGGGCAGAAGATGTTGAGGGGGTTGCCTTGGCTGTAAGCGGTGTTGGGGATTACAAAGCATTTTTTGACGCTGTGGGTGGTGTTGGTGGTGGGCTAGGGAATATGGCTGGTGGCGGTAGCAGTGATGGCAAGAGCTTGGAGGATATGTTTTACCAAAAGGAGATGGAGATTTCGAAGTTGACTTTTACACGGCAGTTTACCCCGGCCGTCATCTATGCATGGGTTAAACTTAGAGAGCAGGTATGTCTCATGTCACTCACACAGAACTCTCTCTTGCTTTTAGTCTGAAGTGCTAACGTTTGAGTGCCTTCAGGAAATTCGAAATATTACCTGGATTGCGGAGTGTATTGCTCAGAATCAGAAAGAACGGATAGGGAATTATATTAGCGTGTTTTAACCCTTTTTCATTACACTTTTCATCTGGAGTTTGCTTGTACACTTTGTCCGTTTTTTATACGCTGGTGTTCTTCTGTTTTGTCTGGTTTGTTGGGATGGATCCATTATATCATGACATATCTTTTTATCTATTTCCCGTTTGTGCGGCATCTTAATGCAACCACCATGCCTACCGATACAGTTGTCTTATAACACCCCTCCAGAGAGGGATGTCAGATCCATCTCCAGCTTCTATGGAACACAAACCCCTTAGAAAAAGGTTTGAGGAATACTAACTACTATTCACACACCTCAGCACGAGATTGCTAAAACTTGCAAGGTGAGAGGCATTTTACGCAAATCTTCCTCCATGGGTCAGGTTATGGAACCGTCCTCGAATTGCCAGCGAGTGGTCTGGATATTTTAGAAAGGGGTTTGAATGCACTGGGTGTAACTGAGAAGGCGGGAAGATGCTATAACCGACAATGCTCAGTCATAATTCAACCTCGGAACATAATCAGAAGGGTATTTGCTTACGCTGCCATTGTAGCATTCCAAGCCTAGACAAGGAATTGGGGGTGGAGACTGGGGAAAGACGGGCAAAGATGCAGTAAGAAAAAAAAAACCCTATGTTGTCAGGTAAAATATCTGCTTTTACTATTCACCCGGTCGAGCAGGGAAATCTGCAGGCTGGGTAACTCCTTGATCCGCTGTTTTGTGCTTCTCAACCATTCTTATCCTCAGCGACTACACATTGTGTGGTCTGTGTTTCAAAATGTTGCCAATCCCTAATACTGGGTGAACCAATGAAGTACGAACAAGTTGAAATGAACTCTTTGTCATATCAAGGGGGAGTTTGCTATTTCTATATCCAAGGTGAATGTTTCTGGAATTACTTGGTTGTCCATTCTCATATCCTGCCTTACCAATCAGTAGTATGCAGGTATGGACATCTTCCTCAATGCATAGAGGCTAGAACTTTTACACTTGCGACTTGAAGAAAGTTGGTAAATTGGTAAAAGGTATACGGAGTAACTATGGTGCCATCAATTGGTCTCTCCGACCAATATTTTTGGCAATTCCCATTGCAAGCTCAAGCTCATATATTCGCTTTTGAGCCTCTGATTATCTTCCAGTAGTTGTCAGCCACCACGCCCAGTTGGCAGTCAGTCCAACGCGCGGCGATCGACAGCATGATACATTGGTGGGCCCGTGGTTCAGGATCCACGCGGCCCATACCTGAATGCCTGAATGTTCCAGGGTGGTTGTGGACATGGTCAAGGAATCCTTAACGGAGTCCTCTCTAGCCACTGTAGCCGGCTCTGCCGTCTCCCGTCGTGAGACTGATAGAACGTGGGACTACAACCTGTGTCCGAGGACAACCAAGACAATCAAAAACAACCGAACTTAACAAATTGCCTGAGCAAATTGACTATTGCCCAATCATAAACAGGCAATCTATCAATGTTGTCAAGGTCTCGGATTGGGTTGAGATGTTCGATTTTGCGTCCCTCCCGAGGTCCCTGATGTCCAACTATGATAGTTTGATTACTTGGTGGCTGTCTTAGAACTCATAGCTGTCGTGACATTGTCCCATACTTGAGGATATTCTTATTGATTTGGCTAGAGGCGGCAAAAACTAGTTATTTGGCTGGGTCTTATTAACTAACTTACGCTTAACGCCCCTCATCAAACGAAGCCGAAATTCCCTAATATTAGCAGTTCTTTCACTTCAAACATGAGCAACCCCTGGTCGATCGTCAGACAATAGCAATTTACCATGGGGGAACCAAAGCCTAGCTGCTTCACAGAAGTTGTTTAGTGAAAGCCGACTGCGCCATCCTCAGAACTAGTGTTGAACATCAGATCAATCAACCCCTGGCACCTGACGGATGGACTGTTGGAGTCAACTTTTTCTTTAAACAAACGAGGAGAACATGATCTTCAGCGCATCACCACCGGGTGCTTACGATGGAATTCTCCGGGTGAAAATGGAGGGTGCTGAGCATACAGAACTGGGCTGAACTTTGACTCTCCGAATTATGATCTTGACAGCTATTCGTGCCTGCAGAATCAACTGCACTATTGTCTATGAACTCTGCAGGTAACAGATGCTGATCTGCCTGGCCAGTTTTGCTGTTGAATTCTGATCCGAACAAGCTTTATGATTTTTAAGACATCTTCCGGTCGATAACATGTCCAGCTTACCATTATATGGTTCCTGGTTCCTGTTGTATGTAACACACATTGAGGAGTGGTCTTATCTGTTCTTTTGGAACTCGCGGCATTTACAGCGTACATGTGTTCAGTGTAGCCAAAAGAATCACAAGAGATCAAAGACACACTTGGCCCCAGAAGCCCAATGCTGACTCCCAGGGTTGCTCAGGCTGGTTTCTTGGGTTTCTCTTTGCTTTTTCACCCAATCGCTATGGAAAGTTGGCTGGTGAGCATGCTATTATTTTTCATGCTGATCTGATGTGGCTTCGGCCACCTAACTATGATTTCTCTCATTACTCGTTAACCCCTGAGAGGAGCATTTTGAACCTAGGAAGGTCATTGTGATTCGCCAATTTTTCGCCCATCCTGCAGAGCATCATATATATTATTATTGAGTTCAATCGACGAGAGCGGGAACGTCATCCCATCATAACTCATCAGGTTTTAGGTAACATGAACGGCTGTGCAGCTATTCGGCCTCATGCTTCGTCGATCTAAGATTCTGCATTTTAACGAATGATCAAGTGTTGCTGATAAGTGATCAGCCTTTCTTTTTATAATCGCTAGACTTTGGTCTCGGATGATTCCAAGGCCCTCTGCGATGGAGTTGTTGTCACACAGTGAGTGTATATAAATGATGGAGACCAGCAGGACCCCACATCATATATCTCATTCTCCTTCTCTCCCTTGCTCGTCTCATTCCAATCTTACTTTCATTCTTGGCAAATTCGTCGTTTGAAAAGAATACCGCCCAGCTTTAAACGCTCATCCCGGTTCCGAGCGTTTGATATCCGTGAACCTTTAGCCTTTGAAAACCTTCCCACAGATATCGCGCAACACCCTTAACAATGAAGTTCTCGGTTGCTTCTGCCGTCTTGGCCCTCGCTGGATCTGTTTTTGCCGTTCCAACCCCCATAGTTCCAGGGCTCGCACCGGTTCCAGGAGCTGGAGCCAAATCACCTGCCGAGGGCGCTCCTTTGAACATGGCCGACAAAATCATCCCCATTGTGAGCAAACTTCTTGGATCTGAAGTCCTGGGCTCTCTACAGCGCTCTGGCCTCCCTGGAAACGGCCTTACTCCAGGTAAAGGAAACGGCCTTACCCCAGGTAAAGCACCCAGACAAGATGATGAGGATGGAGATGAGGCGTCAATGCTGTCCCGCAGGCAAGAAGACGATGAAGGTGGTTCTGGTGAAGAATCCCAGATGGTCCGCAGGCAAGATGATGATGATGACGATGAGGCCGCGATGGCCCGCAGGCAAGAAGACGAAGAAGATGGTTCTGGCGAAGATTCTCAGATGGTCCGCAGGCAAGATGATGATGATGACGATGAGGCCGCGATGACAGCCCGTAAATTGTAAGCTTTCCCGCTTGGTCAATTGATCTATATATCAATGTGTTCTAAACTTTTTTTTTTATTAATGATGTTCACGGTTATTAGCCTTTAAATAATCTTTGGCACATGGCTCTATACAATGACATCACCTTTTCGACTGGCTTGATAATCCCTCTATTGAACCATGATTTCTTTGCGCGCCGCGATTGTGAGAGCAGTGTTCCTAGAGAGAACCGCAAAATTATGATCTCATTGTGTCGTAACCAATATGCCTTTTACCTCTCCTTTCCTCCCACCTTTCCGGTCTGCGTAAGGGGAAAGCATAGAAACACTGCGATGTGGGCTAATTTGGTGTTGGTTTGAGAAGGAATCAAGGACCGGAATTTTTTTTTTTTTTTTTTTTTTTGTTAATCTTTCAGGTGTTTCTTTTTATTGCTACCTCGCGGTTTTCTAAATATTATAGCAAAAATCTGGGAACGAGTGGTTGTTGCAAAGAACCTCTTCCCTCTGTCCATTATCCCTTCTGCGGTATAATAGTAACATCGTTGAGAAAAGAATTCTAAACAACGTTGGCTCAGCTCTCACTTGCAACATGACAGTAGGATCATATACAATTGGAAGGGAAATCTGTTGGGCATATGTTGCCCGGGCGACCGCTCCGCCGCACGTGATTAGTGTACATACAATTAGCTTAGCTTCCACAAAATCTAATCTATATCCGCTGTCACGTGCGGCTGCACTTTCAAATATTAAGCGCTAGGGCGGATCCGCAATCGAGGGCCGCGCTTGGAAATCAGTCACATGTTTCTTAGAAATAGAGCGGAATATGTATAGACTGAGTCCCTCTCAGTCCTCTGACCAAAGTTCATGAATCCTCTGGAAAATAAGAAATAATCTTCAAGGATCCAATAGTTCGTTCTAGACACGCAGTACCTGCACAAACTCGGTTGGTTTTACCAAAATCTAGTACAGAGATACGGATCAATTCCCTGGAAAAATATGCCAAGACTCAACCTCGGTGCCAGAATAGCGCAGAGTGATATGTCAAATAAAACAGGTACGATGGCAAAAAATATATTCAGTATGAATGAATCAAAAGAAAAGAAATAAAATAACAAACGCATTTAAACACCGGACATCTCCACCTCTAAAGCTCCAGCAGTAACAATGATGTCATCAATGTCCTCTTTCCGGCACAGGAAATCTGCTTCATCGAAATCGCCGGGCTGTGACATTGGAATAACGATGGTATTATGGTTCTCCGGCCCACAGTCCGGTGCTTTGTGTTGTTGTCGTTGCTGCTGTGGCTGATGATGGTGTTTGTGATATCTGCCAACATTCTGTCGTAGGCTTGGATGCAGCTTTGGTCGTGTCGACGGTAACGACGAGGAAGATGGGGAAGGCGGAGGATGCGGGGAGAAAGGAATTTTGGATTTCCACATGTGTCTAAATCCGTGTGGGAAGAGGGGGGAATAATCATCTCGCTTATCTTCATCATCTGAATCTACCAACTCGGGTGAGAAGGGACGCTTGTTGGGGTTTAATGCTGGAACTGTAATGTGGTCAAAGCATGAAACCGCTGAGTGCAGGCCAATGGACGGCTGCTCGTCTAGCAAGGAGGGGTGGTGAATTGCCTGATTTGACTCTGCAGTCCGTGAGAATGTCTGGACAGCATAGTTGCCCGTTTTCAGCACACCGCAGGACGGTGCCAGTTCCGCATATGAGGCAGTTCGGGTATAATGGGATGTTATTGGAGCATTTGAACCAGAGGTGTTTGCCGCTGTGTACGAATGTGACATGAATATTCCCGTGCTAGTTTTTGGCAGTGTCGTTGTGGTTGTTGTCTTGTACCCCTCTGGCACTGATTTGCGAATGCGCATGCCGACGGTGAGGAGTGAGGACTGGACTTTGTGAGGAAGGGAGGGGGAGGGGGAGTGGGTTGGTACGGAGTAATTGAAATGCGAGCAACCGTCGGGGGCGGAGGTGGCATTATTAGCGAGGTAATTGGTAATGGAAACTTGAAAGCGTCGTCGCTTGGAGGCGGATGTGGAAGCGGAGGTGGAGGGAATGGAGGTAGATTGATCATCCATGATGGTTGGCAAATAGGTAGATGACGCTTCGTGGATGTAACGTTGCTATGATATATCGGTTGTCGGTTTTGTCCTTTGCGCTGGAATATGCTTAGTCACTTAAATCAGTATAGATATGTGGTATCTGTGGTGTTGTCGTTCGCAGGTTGAAAGGGCAAGAGGATTTTTCAACGGGCTGCAAGGTGAGGTCTTCGGTGTGGAGATTGGGCCGGCCAATTGAGCCGGACAATTGAAGCGCGACACGGCTTCCTCGAAAACGCGTGGGTATCTGGAGGTTATCCGTTTTGGGATTAGGGCATTCACGTGATTAGCCGTGGCGCAGACCGGGCCGACGCACGTGACAGGCATAGCTTAGCACCAACGAGAGATCAAACCATCCCAGTGTCCATCCGGAGTCGAAATGGACGAGATGAAAGGGGATTTCTGTAAAGATTCTAGGTCTGGATTGTGGGATACGAGGTGGGGGCAGGGGGATGTTGCTGCCGTCCGAGAGGAGAATTGGGATGCAGTGGAGGGGACAGAACTGGCGGTTGAATGATGGCTAGCCATATATATATATATATACATTTTTGTTGTTGGACAGGTATATCCAAAATACTACTACCTAAGTATTTCTCAAAATCCTGAAGAAACACCAGTTCCTACCGCTCTATATCATTCCCTCACCTTCCTTTTTTCCATATTCTTCAAACATCTGCATCCTTCACCCAGCATTCCCCCTTCTCCCCCCTCTCTTCTGCCGGTCATGATGCGCCCTCAATACATTCCGCATCTCCACCAAACTCCTCTTCCCTTTACTCTTCGCCTTCCCCAACGTCATCATGAAATTCTTCCTCCTCGCCTTCTCCTTGTTCGTCGTACTCTTCCCCTGTGTCTCCTTCCTCTCCTTCTTCCTCGCAGCCTTGCTCTTATGCTCAGCCCTGTCCGTCTTGAGCTCGTTCATCCGTGCAATTTTCTCCGCCCGCGTCGCCCTGGCCGCAGAGAGCAGAACAAGCCCTTCAATCTCAGCGGCTGTGAGAGGATCATCCGAATGCCTGGCTGTGTTTGAAGCAGCCTGCTTCTGTCGCTGAGTTTTATGTTGCGGGAGGAGGGATGTGACGCTTTCTTTGGCGCGGAGTTCAGCGAGTTTTGCAAGATCTGCTGGTGTTAGGATACGAGTTGTGGCCAGACTTGATCGTTTCTTTTCCTTTTCCTTTTCTTGCTGTGCATCTTCTGTCGTTGCTCGTGATTCAGCATCAGCTGCGGTTTTGGGTTTCTTGGCTGTGGGGCCGTCGTCTTCAGAATCGCTAATCTCGATCTCTGCGTCGCTCTGAACGTCAATCCAACCACCAGAATCATCACTGTCCTCATCATCCTCCACATCCCAAGCGCCCCAATCGTCCTCTTCGTCATCTTCCTCGTCTCCGCTTTCCCCATCAGACGGCAGTCCCTTCTCCCGTCGCCTCTTCTGCCGTTCCTCTTCTTTCCACTGCTCCAGCAACTCAATACCTTCTATCTCCCCAGTCTCTTCTGCCCCAAAGCGGATATTCTTTCGCTCTCCAGCCTTCAGTTCGATAGTTGCAATTTTTCCACGATCCCTCTTTTTCAATAGCTCAGCACCAACTTCTCGATAGAGACTTAATAGCCCTTTAGCGGCCATCATGACTCCTTTATCTTTACTTTTTCGGTACATCACCAAGTCTTGCAGCAAAGTCTCGCTCATGGCAAGTGGCTGCCGCACACAAATCTCTCTAATTGCATTCAACCCAGCCGACGCAATTTCTGCGGCTGCAGCTTCAGAGACGAACTCATTCGCAATTTTCTGAACAAGTGGCTCAAGGACATCAGGAGGTACGAGAGAATGTGATGATTGAGCTAGCGAAGCCAAAAATGAAGTGACAGACGGTTGCTTTGGTGTTAGGTACTTGAGGAAGTATGAGTATAGCTGTATCATCGTAAGCTTATGCAGCCCCACAAGCCGCGACACCAGCTGCAGAACAAGCAACTTCTGGTCGAGATTCAACTTGGACTTGGTATTTTGCAGATGTTTCGAGAAGAGCGTCTCCGCAAAACCCTGCGGGTCGTGTAGCAGATGGAACGCGGAGAAATTAAGCGGATGCGGCTGATTATTCTTCTTCTCCTTTTTCTTGGCCATTATAATAGCTTTCTCCACCTGACGTGACTTCTTCTTGGTCTTTTTATTGATCGCAAGCTGGTGGCGTACTCGTGATATATCAGGCATCTCTTCGTCGCTGCTCTCATCCTCCAGCTCCTCTCTCTCCTTGTCACCAGCAAGGAAGAAGCGTACCCCACCAACAGCCACTTTCTCATTATCAGCCAACGAGGCCTCTTTCATAATCTCCACTGCCTTGGCATCGGTCCATATTTGTCGTTTCCATAGCTCTCTTGTAATTTTGATGGCCCATAGAGCTTTTACGGATGTCCTATCGGATGTGACGAGGTTGTAGAGGACTGTTTGGATGGTTCTGTTTAGTTTATGGTTGATAGTCTTTGAATTTGAGGTGCGAAGATCAGAGATGATCTTTTGGAATATGAATGCCCGGAGTGTCTTGCTTGGAGTGGAAATAAGGACCGGGAAGAGAGTCTGCAGGAGACTGCAGTCGATCGCATCAGTTAGCATTCAATACCGACATAAAAATCCAAATCCGCCCGCATGAATTCAGAATTCAAGGAATGACAATAAATAAAACCATACGTAGCAGAATCAATAATCTCTTTCTTCCTCAATAACACCAAACTGCCCACAATCTTCTCGCGCAAATCTCTCTCAAGCACAGCATGATGCTGCAACAATATCTCAATTAACTCATTCGGGAAATTCTTCGTAATATCACTGTAGCAGTCTGCCACATGGGCGATAAAGTCAATCAGCTCGCGCAGTGAAATTATCCCCGTGTCCGTCGCTGATGATGGCGCCGCCAAGAATATCTCTCGGTGGCTCTCATATTGGTAGTGTTGACTGCGGAAATCTTCGATGTAGGACCTGTGCACGCGAGGGTCGTTAGAAAGTTTGCAATGAACGAATCCCTGGGTGAACTTGGTTTAACATGTAGTGGGGACGGGTATTGGAATCGTACTTTGGATCTCGTCGGATTTTATGCTGGAGATTTGTTCTGGAATAATTGTTTGCCGAAAATCAGCTTGATGCTCTCACGGCAACATAGGATGAGATGATTTAAAAAGGTTTTTAAAATCCTTACAGGTCAGCATCCACCTTTTCCAAGGCTCCCAATTTGCGCTTCCCCATGGCTGGAGGTTTCTTTGCGTGTGGGTTTGCGGGATAAGAGCTCTTTGACGTTGGAGTTGCAGCTGTTTAGATTTTCTCGGTGGTTTGTTCAACCCACCTGTGAAACTTTTTAATTTATTTTAGCCTGCGTCAATGAATGCCCAGACATTTGCGGAGCTGCGAATACTAAAGACGAGGAATGTGACCACAGGTAACAAAAATTAAGCTTATAAAATAATAAAATTTTTCACTACGGGATGATTGCACAGACTACGTGGGACATTTTAAGATTATGTGAAGCAAATTGCATTGCTCCGACGCTTGTGACAAAGCATAAAGGGAGAAAAGAGAAGCATAACGTGGTGTGGACGTTGCATGCATGTAGCTACGCTTTTGAACTAATCACCAATTGAAAATTAAACAAGAGAAGAACTTTCTTCATAATTGCATTCAGAAAAACTGGCCCGTCTGTGTGGATTTATCGTTATTCTTCAAAATAAACCCCGTCCACATAATAAATAGAGTCTTTCATTTTTTGGTGTCGCAGATGAATGTGAAAAACCAATCCACCGAACACCGCAGATGGTAGGAAAAAAGAGAGCATGCACAGACATACAAAACACACATGCGCACACAACACATCAACTCCTCAATATCACGTTTACCGATTACTCTTGGCCACACGCTCCAGCTCGTCCTTCTTCTTGATAGCGTACGAGTTCGAGCTGCCCTTGGCGGCGTTGATCAGCTCTTCAGCAAGGCACTCAGCAATGCTCTTGACGTTGCGGAAAGCGGCCTCACGGGCACCAATGGTCAGGAGGGCGATGGCCTGGTTAACGCGGCGGAGGGGGGAGACGTCAACGGCCTGGCGACGGACAGTACCGGCGGAGCCAATTCGGGTGCTGTCTTCTCGTGGGCCGCAGTTGACAATAGCGTCGACGGCGACTTGAATGGGGTTTTGGTCGGTCATGATGTGGATCTATGGAGGAAATACGAGTTAGATCGATGGCTCTTTTCACTGAATTTCACTCCAGTTATAAAATACGAGAGGTACAACGTAGGTACGTACGATCTCGAAAGTGTGAGCAACGATGCGGACGGCCATGAGCTTCTTTCCGTTGTTGCGGCCGTTCATCATCAGGGAGTTGGTGAGACGCTCAATGATTGGGCATTGGGCCTTTCGGAATCGTTTGACGGCATATCGTCCGGCAGAGTGGGAGATGTAGACGGGTTGACGGATTTGAATGTAGTCGCTAATAGGTTGAGAATCATCCACATGTCAGTATATCTGTGATGTAAAATTGTGTAAATCCATCCTCGCATTCAATGCCCTCCCCCCTATACGCAGCCTATAGCACTTCAACAATTCCCTGCTCACTTTCCCCTCGCCTCTGCAATTGGTGGTCCCATCCAATCTCCCATCGGAAGTTCCCTTTTATCATATCCTGCGAACCACGTCTTCGAATCTCAAGGGCAACAAAACCACATGCAAATGAAGATTTAGAAAACACATACGTCAAAGACATATCCCGAATCTCAATATCCTCATAGCTCCATTTGTTGAAAAGCTTGATGGCGCCGATTTCTGCGGCAACCTCTTTAGGCAGGACTGGGTAGCCGATGCGGCTTTCGACCTCGACTCCCCCGGTGTCGGACATGTTTTCGTGTGTGGACGCCATTTAACAACCTGGGCGAGAGAAGGGGAAGAAGAAGATAGACGGCTGGGAATCGTCGTCGTCCTCGTCGTCGTCGTTCGGCGTGTGTCGTCGTTCTCTCTGGAAGTGTTGCTGCGGTGTGTTGGAATTTGCGGTGCGGCTTCGCTAAGCGAGGGTTTAGTCAGCTTTGTGGGAAGGTTTAGGGCAGTTGGATGCTTTCAGCCAATCAGAGGGGCGTAACGTTGAGATGGATTAGGTGTGTCACGTGTATGTGCTTGGTGTGCCTCGAGCGGTTGAACATATCCATGACGAACAACTAGAAAAGACTCTCTTTCATGTAGGTATATACGTCGCTACCTAAGGTACATATTCTCTATATAGATACATTCCTCATTACTCGCCGCCAACAGGACAATTAGGCATCCCCGTTTGCCATTCCATCTCTGCATACTTCCGCAAATACGTATTGGTGGTGAACTCCTTCGGCATATAATACTGCACGTCGACCATCGTATAATTGCCACCCACCTTAGCCAATGCAGGCAGCACAAAGCGCTCCGCAATGAAGTCCACAAATACCAAATCAACTTTCTCCGGGTCACTTCTATTAGAAGGGAACGCCGCCATTGCCTGAACGTCATTGGGTTGCTTGAAGTGCGGGATCTTCGAGTGAGGCGTGTCATCACCGTCTGTTCCGAAGTCATCCGTAGTGGTATAGCCAGGGTTGTTTGTTGTGGAGTCCCGTGGATGGCGAGTGATGGACCGTGGCTTAAGAAGGTCTCGCTTCCCTTGCGTCGATGTTATTAGTGGGGGATCCACGCAGGAACCGCTCGTCCCTTCAAGGATTGAACTGGAGTAGGTGTCTACACTTAGACTGCTCCTCCTCTGGAATGGCCCAGTATTCAAGATACCTAGTATCTCCTTCGCCTGCAAATAGGGCACGTCTGAGATGAACTGGAATGTGTTTTGGTACGGGCTGACTGTATACGAGTCATCCAATGTAAACGGGCCCTTGACGAGATCATACCGGATGTTGCCCGTGTTCATAAGAATCAAGCGTGGTATATTCGCCCGCGATTGGTTGATGACAGTTGCAGCTAAAGCTCTCTCAGCCAGGGTGAAGATATTTCCTTCATCTCCAAATGGCTTGCAAGTCACGCAGTATGTTTGAGGAACGCATGCAATAACAACTGATAAGTTTTGAGCCTTGCGGAATTCCGTGATATCTCCTGTCACCCATTTCCCAAGCTTAGAATCAAGCTTGGGATCTTGTGACCCAACGGCATGGAATGCAAATGTAAGGCGATTCCAATCCAGATACCTACGAGAATACAGTATGTCTTTATCTCTTGCTCTGTCACATGATTGAGGCATCCTAGTGGATGCCGTTTCATTTGCAATAGCCTTCCTAGAGGGGTTGGGAACGCCACGCGGTTTCTCACTCCCCTTAAAAGTTGATGATTTGATTCCAGACATGGAGAGCCACCCGACGGTTTCACAATATTTTCCCGATGCAAGACCAGTTGATTTCATATCCCAGACAACAAAGTCCCGAACATGTGCATGACCTCCGAATATCTGTATTGGTACCTCTGGCCGCAGATCTCTAATGGCCTTTTGGACTTTTGATAACGTACTGCTGGGTTCAGTTGATCTAACAGGATTATGTCCAATTACCACAAATAAATCAATGGGTTCAAGCTTGACAGCGTCGATAAACCATTGTTCCTTGATCATGTCTTCGGCTTTGGTAATCTTGGAAACGTTCGAATTCCCTTTGAAGTCGAACAGAACGCCAAAGGACATGATATTGAGTCCGTGGTCAGTGGTGAAGTGGCGGAACTTATTTCCCATATCTTCGAATTCTCCCGTGGCATCGTTGAGGATTTGAACGTTGCTGGTTAGGTACCTCTTCCCGTAAAACTTGGAGAAATTTGCAAAGGTCTCATAAGCCACTTCAGTGACATAGAGCTCATGGTTCCCAACAGTCAGCAAATCGTAATCGATCGTGCTAAATATTTCGTTTGTATATATGCCATTGGGTTTTGTAGTGTCGCCCAATCCATTGCCATCATGCAAGTCACCTAGGAAAAAGACCCAGTTCAGATCACGAGGAGAAACATGGATTATTATATGGGAAGGCAGGCGCACCGGTATCAATCAGCAACAAATCAACATTCAACTCATTCGCCCTTTTGCGCATATGTTTGACGAAGGAGACATAATCTCCCCAATCGGCTCCATAGTTCTCTTCCTTAATATGGCCTGCTAGCCAGCCGTGCGTGTCGGTCGTGTGGAGGAAATTGATCTGTCCCCATTCAAGTGGACCCTTGGTCTTCGTCGTCGCTTTCGGCGCTTCTGGCTGCATGCGACGCACCAATCTCTTGTGGCTCGTGTAGTCTGAGGGGCCATAGCAAGAGTCGCACGCGTATATTGACGGTGCTATGCATGCGAGCAGACAGTGGAAGAATAGGGGGAGGGAAAACATTTGTGCAGGTGATCTCCTAACAGAACGATAGACTTGTGCTAAGAAGGAAGATATGGTTGTGTTCTTTTCTTTCTTTATCCTGTCCTCAGAACAGAACAGAATCAGGTGAATAGGATGAGGGAAGTAACTTGGTGATTATTATTGTTGCGGCTGGTTGATCTTTCAATACTATCTGCACATAACTACTGGAACAAGCATCCTCTTCCATCATGGGTTCGGGGTGCCATGGATGTGTAGCTCGTGTACGGGTTATTAATTGCGCTGAAGCATGTCTGAATGGCTGTTTGCTATTCGCTGCGATCGACAGAACAACATTCTGTTGGGAACTTTTATCTGTCTGTCCCCTGTAACTACCCCGTGGCTCACTAAACAAGGAGGTCGTTGGGCTGAGTATCCGCGGATATATTTTTTTCTTCCATGGTATAGGTGCTAGTGTCTCCGAGTAACTTCAAATGACATGCATCTTTATTCATTATTATTACTATTTTTCCATCCTCAACTGTCTTTTGCTGGTTCAACGACGGCATTGAAACTGATGGATAGTCGATAAGCTGTTCTGATGGAACTTGAGTTTGCGGATAAAGAATGATCGACTGTTCAGTTCGAGCCTGTCATATACAACAGCACACATTCGCGTAGGTGGCGCAATAACAAGATTATACATTGTTTAATATATTTGGTATGTAGAAATACAATGGATTTGGCCGTTGTCATCCTTTGCATTTCGTCCGTTGGACGTTGTGGTTTGAGACGGAAATATCCTGCATACAAATACATACTTGGGACAGCAGCTCTACCAACTCGAATCCAGGGAGCGTTCATTGAGTTCCAGTACCCCGCACGGAAGAAGTTGTTTATATAAATTGCAAGAGAGAGATCATTTCTTCTCTTCGCATATGCCAACACACAATCTTGGAAACCAAAATTGTTGGGGCTATGGGTTAAGGCCCCCGTCTTCTCAACTGTGTATTTGAAACAGCATTTCTGCTCGACAGGTTCCGTGTTTAATGCGGTTTGCCAGAGAATGTCAATTGGATTTGTTATAGAAATGGGAAATGTCTTGGTAGAAGTGAGCTCGACACTCCTGGTAAACGTAAGTTGCTGTTCTATTGAATCCAGGGAGTCTCTGATTTCAGGATCGACTGATTATGCAACCAGCCTGATAGCGTTGGTGGCTGATGGAGTGAGTCGACGTCATTGCCCAAGAATATGATGACAATGAGGAGAGCTGAAATATAAACCCGATAACCGCTAACTTTGACGTTGTCATGAGCCAGGGTATATATTGATCAGAATATCTGGGTAGTTACATTATAACTAACTAGTTAACTACCTGATAAGTAACAATCAGATTGCAGTGGCGGCGGAACCATCACAGCAAGTCGAGACATCTGCCTAAGAACTAAATATCTGGCAGTAACTCATTGACTCATCTTCCGCAACTATCCAGCAAGATATTTATTCCGTAACTTTTCGTGTCTTCCCCACGGCGGTTAAAATAGTTGATTGTTCTAGTTCTTGTTCTTTATAATCTCCCCGCAAAAACGTTTGTGCGCGGGCCGCCGTTTCAGCCTCCCCCAAGATTTTTGTTAGACGAGAGACGACGTCTAGAGTCAAAACTTCTTGTTCCCCGACACAAACCGACCGGTCCTCTACTCCCGGCGCTCATAGACTGACCGTGTTCCTTTTTAATCTGGCACATCGGGACCAAGTGCCCTGAAACTATCATCCTGCTATGCCCAATCTCTTATCCCCTCGTTATCATAATTGCTCCTAACCGCGTTTGTAAACTATCCACCCACCCCGCGACCATGGCTGAGGATAACCCGGAGCTGCAGGTCGCCTTGCGCCAGCTAGACCAGGAGTTCGATGTGAGTAGTTCTTCTTCACAATGCCCCTCATTAATTGCTAACATCCTCGTTCCATTTAGGACGGCGAGATCACTCAAAAAGGGTAAGCAAATTTCCTTTCATTTCTCTTTTGACCCGTTCCTTTTTTACCGGCTCCGGAACGCGATTCGCGTGGTGTCGGATCTCCAAGCCGCTGCTGCAGGCCCTGTTTTCTTGTGGCTAGCCCCAAAAATGGAACAAACAATGGGGAGATCTTTTTCTTGTTAGCTCACGATTAACATTCATCAAGATACGAAAAGCGTCGTACCCTGATTCTATCCCATTACCTATCTACAAACAACGGTGACCCCACAGACAGAGGCCTCAGGATTGCTAATCCAGGAAATGCGGCGAACCGTCGGGCCTCCCATCTTGGTTTATACTCTCCTGCAACGTCGTCGCAGGGCAGTCGTCCGGCCAGCTCGACTTTGTCAGATGAACGTCAACAATCCGAATCACTGTCTGCAAACTTCATTGGCGGAGACCAGGAACGTGTAAAGGGTGACCAGATGGCTGGAATGAATGCTATGGCTGATGCTCACTATCAAATGCAAGCTGGAAATCAGCTGGCACAGATTCAGGAGAGAGAACTGGACCTTTCGTTTGGGGTCGAGCGGAACCCGTCTTCAGCATCGAAAGATTCGCTTTTTCTTCCTCGAGGCCAAGCACCATCAGGAAGTAATTATGGCACCTCTCGATCTGGTACTCTAACGAGTCATAACTACGCATTTAATCCAGCCGATAAGCCTAGCTACGGGGAACCCCGCACCAGTACATATAGCCCACCAGGTGGTAACGGTGGTTATATGCGACAGTCTACGATGCTAGACTCACAACAGGCCTTTTTCTCAGACTTCGCTGGTCAGCAAATGGAGGACCGTCGAAATAGCTATGGAGGGTCCTTCCAACGGTACTCAACCCAAACTGAACCATTTTCACCAGTCGCCAACATGGCTCCGCCCTTGATGAACACGGCCGATTTACCACAGGGAATGGACGTCGATCATCTGTTACCCCTCGAACCTCGAGATATACCCTTTGACGTTCACGATCCTCACGATCCCAGCATGTCCATGTCGAAGTTCGATAATTTACCCTCAGTCCTGAGGCATCGCGCACGGACTCATCCAAAACAGCCCGCTTACTGGGTATTGGATCAGCGCGGAAAAGAAATAGCGTCAATTACATGGGAGAAGCTGGGGAGTCGGGCGGAAAAGGTTGCGCAAGTCATCCGTGATAAAAGCAGCTTGTATCGAGGGGATCGGGTAGCACTCATATACCGAGACACTGAGATTATTGAATTTGCCGTTGCGATCCTAGGCTGTTTCACTGCAGGAGTTGTAGCTGTTCCCATCAACAACCTTGAAGACTACGCTAGCCTCAACGTTATTCTTACATCCACCCAGGCTCATCTCGCCTTGACGACCGAGAACAATCTGAAAACTTTCCAGAGGGACCTTACAACTCAAAAGCTGAATTGGCCCAGAGGGGTGGAATGGTGGAAGACTAATGAGTTTGGAAGTTACCATCCGAAAAAGAGAGAGGATATTCCTGCACTCGTTGTCCCGGATTTGGCCTACATTGAATTTTCCAGGGCACCTACTGGTGACCTGCGGGGCGTTGTGATGAGCCACCGGACAATCATGCACCAGATGACCTGTCTTAGTGCTATAGTATCTTCCTCCAACCCTGGCGGTAATACCCGGCAAGCAAGACCGCATGGCGAAACCCTATTTAGCTATTTGGATCCTAGACAAAGTATTGGTATGATTCTTGGGGTTTTGTTTACGGTGTATGGTGGCCATACAACTGTCTGGCTGGAGGCACTGGCAGTTGAAACCCCTGGTCTCTACGCCAGTTTGATTACAAAATATAGGGCTACACTCATCTCGGCGGACTATCCAGGGTTGAAACGTGCCGTCTACAATTACCAGCAAGATCCCATGGCAACCAGAAACTTCAAAAAGGGCTCGGAACCAAATTTCTCCAGTCTTAAACTCTGTCTCATTGATGCTCTTACCGTTGACCCTGAATTCCATGAGATTCTGGCTGACAGATGGCTGCGTCCTCTTCGCAATCCACGTGCTAGAGAGCTAGTTGCTCCCATGTTATGTCTACCTGAGCATGGTGGCATGGTTATTAGCGTTCGTGATTGGCTTGGTGGTGAAGAGCGTATGGGATGTCCCCTCACACATGAAATGGACCCTGCTCCACAGGTTGAGTTACCTGAAACAAAAAAGGAAGAGAAGGTTGAGAGCGTTAAGACTGGGTTTGGAAGTAGTTTGATTGGTGGAACTGCCGTCCCAACCCCAAAACAATCTAAAAGCAATAGAGTTGAGTTGAATCAGGTTCTCCTTGACAAAGAGGCACTTAAAAATAATGAGGTTGTTGTGCTAGCGATGGGAGAAGAGGAAAGGAAACAGGCCGAAACTATGCCCAATACCGTCCGGGTTGGCGCTTTTGGATATCCTCTTCCAGATGCCACCTTGGCTATTGTCGACCCTGAGACTGGATTGCTATGTACGCCGAATATAATTGGCGAGATTTGGGTTGACTCTCCTTCACTCTCAGGTGGCTTTTGGGCATTACCAAAACATACTGAGGCGATATTCCATGCTCGACCATACCGATTTCAAGGCGGGAGTCCTACTCCAGTGATTGTTGAACCTGAATTTCTCCGTACGGGACTTCTGGGATGTATCATCGAGGGCAAAATATTCGTCCTTGGTCTGTATGAAGACCGTTTGCGTCAGAAGGTAGAGTGGGTGGAGAATGGTGCAGAGTCCACAGAGCACCGCTATTTCTTCGTTCAGCACTTGATTATCAGTATCATGAAGAACGTACCTAAAATTCATGACTGCTCGGCCTTCGACGTGTTTGTCAACGATGAGCATTTGCCCGTTGTTCTTTTGGAGTCTTATGCTGCGTCGACCGCACCGACGACGTCTGGTGGACCACCACGACAACTTGACATAGCTCTTTTGGACTCCCTTGCCGAGCGATGTGCCGAGATCCTATATCAAGAACACCATCTTCGGGTCTTCTGCATAATGATAACAGCTCCAAACACGCTACCACGAGTTACGAAGAACGGGCGACAGGAAATTGGAAATATGCTATGCCGGAAGGAGTTTGATAACGGGTCATTACCATGTGTGCACGTGAAGTTTGGCGTTGAACGGTCTGTTTTGAATCTGCCCATCGGGGTTGACCCTGTTGGAGGAATCTGGTCTCCCATGTCATCGGCTGCACGACTCGGTGCGCTGGTAATGCAAGACAAGCAATACTCAGGCGTTGACTATCGAGACGTTGTGATGGATGACCGAACCTCCACCCCCTTGAACAATTTCACTAGCATCGTTGACCTCTTGCAATGGCGAGTGTCTCGACAGACTGAGGAGCTTGCCTATTGCTCGATTGATGGGCGTGGGAAAGAGAGCAAAGGAATTACATGGAAAAAGTTCGATTCCAAAGTTGCTGCAGTGGCTATGTACCTGAAAAATAAGGTCAAGCTCAAACCTGGGGACCATGTGATTCTCATGTATACGCATTCTGAGGAGTTTGTTTTTGCAGTCCATGCCTGTTTTTGCCTTGGAGTAATTGGGTTGCCAATGGCCCCAATCGACCAAAACCGACTCTCGGAAGATGCTCCAGCGTTCCTTCATTTGATCGCCGATTTTCGTGTACGAGCAATTCTTGTTAACCACGATGTCAATGATTTGCTGAAGGTGAAATCGATTGCACAGCACATCAAACAATCAGCTCATGTTCTTCGTATCAATATCCCTCCTACTTATAACACAGGGAAACCCCCTAAACAATCGCATGGCTGCCGCCATCTTGGCTTGACAATGAAAAAGGAATGGCTTGATTCTGGTAGGCCAGCAATGGTTTGGACGTATTGGACTCCGGATCAACGCAGAATGTCCGTCCAGATCGGCCATGACACGATTATGGGAATGTGCAAGGTGCAAAAGGAAACTTGCCAAATGACTAGTACACGTCCGGTATTGGGCAGTGTGCGTAGTACGATCGGGCTCGGGTTCATTCACACTTGTTTGATGGGGTGCTACGTTGGTGAGTGCTCTTCGAAACGTTTCAACTGTCATCGCAACAGCAAATCAAAAATAATCTGACGATGTGATATATAGGTGCCCCAACATATCTCTTCTCCCCGCTTGATTTTGCCACAAATCCTGTCTCACTCTTCCTTGCTTTGGCGAGATACAAGATTAAGGACACCTATGCCACTAGTCAGATGCTGGATTACGCCATGGGCAGCATTGCCGGGAAAGGGTTCCAGTTGCATGAATTGAAGAATTTAATGATTGCATCTGAAGGGAGACCCAGGGCTGACATCTGTGCGTATTATGCTTTCCCTCTCTTGAATCTTGACTAATAACTTTTACAAACTAACTACTTCATTAGACCAGAAGATTCGATTGCATTTTGCTGCGGCAGGGCTCGACCGAACAGCCATCAATACAATCTACTCTCATGTCCTTAATCCCATGATCGTCTCCCGCTCCTACATGTGCATCGAGCCTGTAGAACTTTGGCTGGATACCAAGTACCTTCGACAGGGGCTGATTTATCCTGTCGATCCTGACTCTGAACCAAACTCGCTGCGGGTTCAAGACTCTGGGATGGTGCCTGTAAGCACGCAGATTGCCATTGTCAACCCCGAGACCTGTTGCCTTGCGCATGTGGGCGAGTATGGTGAAATCTGGGTACAGTCTGAAGCCTGCGCAAAGGCATTCTACGGAACGAAGCAAGAGTTTGATCTGGAGCGGTTCAGGGGAAGGACTGTCGATGGAGATCCTTCTGCTATCTATGTTCGCACTGGTGACTTGGGTTTCTTGCATACGGTTACTCGACCAATTGGCCCTGGTGGTCAGCCGGTGGAGATGCAAGTTTTGTTTGTTCTGGGGGGGATTGGGGAGACTTTCGAAATCAATGGCCTCAACCATTTCCCTGTGGATATTGAGACAACGATAGAAAAATGTCACCGAAATGTTGTCCCTGGTGGAAGGTGAGCTCTCTTCATTTTTCCTTTGCGTAGATCTCCTGTATTTCACCTGCTGACTTTCCATAAGCGCGGTATTCCAAGCTGGTGGTCTTGTGGTAGCTCTCATTGAAGTCACTCGAAAAGCGTACTTAGCTTCTCTTGTACCCGTGATCTTGAATGCAATTCTCAACGAGCACCAAGTTGTCGCGGATATCATCGCATTTGTACCGCGAGGCGACTTCCCCCGCTCCCGTCTAGGGGAGAAACAACGTGGGAAGATCTTGGCATCATGGGTGACTCGAAAAATGCAGACTATAGCTCAGTTTAATATTCGTGATGGCGAGGGCTTTGATAGTCATCTCATTGACCTCCCTGAACGCACCAGAACAACCTCCAAGGTCCCCAGCACCACGGAAGTTGGAAGCCGTCATCCTACTCCACAATCAGATCCTGAAAGTCATACCCCACAACGTCAACAGGAATCTGCAGCCCCGGTAGAGCAAACAACTCCGACAGAACGGGTTAATTCCTTTACCCTCCCAGCTGCTGTGCCAAGCCTTTCTCCACTAGCAGCATCATTTCGTGAGAATGACGAGGAGAGCACCAAAAACTACAACTCCACAGACTTTGACTATCGTCTTTCATTTGGCGATAAATCCAAAAATGACTTCGACGATTATGAAGATGATGACGAGCCCATGGAAAAGCCTACTCGTCTGGCAATCGTGAACCCAGAAGAGTCGGACAATGATGATAACACCAATCAGCACTCCAGCCCGGCGCCCCGTCCACTGGAGCTCGTCGGAGGTGTCGATAATTCCAACGACAGTAACAGCAACACTGACAATGTTAATGACAAACCACAACGAGAATACGACTTCGATTACGACTCCTTCTTCTCGTCTAACACTCAAGGTCAAGGTCAAGGTTAATACCAAGGGCATCAACGCCAGAATAATGCTTAAAGCCCCATCCTATTTTTGGACGTCAGGACGTCATCCCTCGAGATAATACTCATAGTTATAGTGCTAAGTCAACCCCCCACCCCAAACACCCGCGTCGGATCGCTGGCCAGGCATCAGGCGAGATATAGCTTCGTCTCGTCTAATCCTTATTGTCAGCATCCACAGCACATCTCTGGTTCTGGT